ACATTCAGAGCAGGGCTGGGCAATTTATTAAATTTGTTGCTTATAAAAATTAACAATTTTGGTAAATTGATATTTTATTTACAAGTTTACTCATTGGGCTTCTGCAGGTCTAAGTGATATCAGCTGGATGTCTTTTGTTTGTGTTTATTTTCACTTTGAATTATGATCATTTCAACCACAAATGATAATTGAAATAAAAGCAAGTTTTAAAAAAATATATATTTTATCATTTATTAGTTCCTTTTAAAGGAGAGGGGGAAAAAATAATACATCTTGTTAAATTTTGAAGCTACATTACCCAGCCCTAACTCAGAGGATCCACTGCACAGATTATTAAATGACAACATGCCCTCTCTGTCTATATCATATTGTCTGCTTTGTTTAACATAAGATGGAATTTTGCCCAGATGCTACAGCATGTTGTATGCCCCCCACATAAATCTGGAGCTGTTGAGGCAACACAGCATTTATACCTAAAGTTTACATTTAGTCTTTAATAAATAGAAACATGTTTGGTTTAAACTCACTCAAAACATTTTCACATCATGAGTTTTACAAATGTAATTCAGTGGCAATATTGAATAGTCAAGCCATTGATGAAACTAACTTTTTTAAAAAGCTAATAATTTTGATTACAATTACCAATTATATTCTTTAATACACCTTTTTGGACCTGAGCTCACAAATAAATCAATACCTCAATTTTTCTAAACAGTCACTTAGTGAGGAGGTAGATAAATAAACATTAGACCCTTTTAGCTAACACTAATATAAAATAAAACATACATTTATAGTGAAAAATCAACATTAGTCTTCCAAATAGGCAAAAGGTAGAGAAAGTGTTACTGTTTGAGGGTTTAATCTTTTCCAACCTGTCCTCAGGGTTAACAGGGATTCCCAGGTCTCCTGTACGCAGTTTACGAGTCAGGTCTTCAATCTGCAGTTGGACTGGAAGAATTCAGGTTAGGAAAGAAAACAAGGATGGAGAGAAATGTGGTTACCACAGCAACATCAGAGAGAGAGTGCTCTGCACTTCAGAGAGCAAAGTCTCAATCACTACTGCAGTAAAGACAATTGGTGAGTCTGTTAAAAAGGGAGATCAAATCAACATGGTAAGACTACAGCAGAAAGCTGGAGTCCTTTCTGGTGCTACGCACACATTGTAATCACAATGGATATGCCTGTGAGGTCATTTCAATTAGGGTTACAGACAACCAACATTTGTTCCACAATGATTAAGCATGAGAACATGTCAAATGATAAACCATGGTTCCTAAAAATGCCTGCCACCTCATCAATACTTCAAACAAGGCTGGAGTTGACTTCCATGAGCACAGCTGCACTCGGTTTAAAGGCTTCGGCATTTTAAGAACGAACTTGGCCAATTTGTTTTGTTGTTTGTTTGTTTTTTTTGCTTTTTTGTTGCAAGTTTCAGTAACAGAACAGGTGATTACAGTCACATTTGGCACTCCACAGATCTAACACTGAGGGGCTGCTGTGACACAAAGACAAGTCTCAAATTCAGGAGGCAATGAAGAAAGGAATAGATCAGACATTTCATGCACATTATGAGAAACGGAAAGGAGTATCCCCTTGAACACAGATTCATTAATCCTTTAGGTGATTATTCTGAGTTAAAGAGGTGGATACGCATCCTGTAACTCGATGTTCACAACAATTTCATTCTGAAACTCTTGTTTTAGGGGATCTACTTCATGAGCAAACTAAGTGTGACAAGGAGGGTGGATACAGATGAATGTTTACATACCAATGAAGAACAACCATTACCAATGAGGGGACAAAGTCAATACTGGTGTTAGTTACAGACAAATGGACTCATCTAAATTAAAAATAGTTCAACACTGTTCCTGTGAGAAATGTTTCCTCCTGGGAACAGCTTACAATCAAACTGGCTAAATTGAACATTTAGTGCAAGCAGACTGAGAAGTCAAGCAATGCAATTCAGTTATTCTTTTTTTTCATGACATTTCTCCTACTACAATTGGGTACATACATCTAAAAAGTAAAATGATTTGAATTCACTATTTTAGTCCAAATGAATTAAGCTATGCCGCTTCCAGATGTTAAACCAAATATTAAAACATAAATCATTTATGCATCCAGTTGTTCCTTCGTGCAGTTTCTATAACTGGATCAACACTGATGTGCTTCAGTTCTCATCTGGTTGCAGTAGAGGGGGGGTTTGAAGGGGACTACTCTGATCAGATAGTTTTTATTTATCCTGCCATCACTAGCTCTTGTTAATGGTGTCCAATGGTATGCAAACCAAAAGGCTACAGAACATAGAAAAACCACTTGCAGAGAAATAACCATCATAAAATCTTACATTAACATTTACAATAATTATTGCTCATCAGGACTTTTTTTTTTTTTTGCTTTGTTTCAGCAGCTGGAGCAAAATTTTACATGCAACACTTAAAATATAGAAATTATATATTACTGTGAAAATAAATTTGATTCAAGATGTTAGCTATGTATATTTCAAAAGATACTTTTGCACCATTCCAGCTACTGGGAACTCAGCAAACAATAAAACACAGTAACACTGATGACATCAGAAAACAAGAACTTTAAATGCAAATAATGAAGCATATCACAAATACCATTTACAGCCATATTTGAAAAAAGATAATTAGCATTTACCTATATAAGCTCTTTCCTGGTCTCGGGTCAGTCCAGGGGGAATGACAGTGGGCATTCCTGGGATGACCGTCTTCTGATCAGGGGTCTCACTGCTCCATCGGCTCTTTTTCCTTTTCTTTTGGCCAAAATCTAACAAAATAAAATTCCAATATGTCAAACTTTTCAGAGAAATATTGCAGGATCAACATCAGCCATAGATACTTTTATCAAGACAACTCCAAATGAACACAAAGGCATTTATACCAAAAGCCCAAGGAAACTTAGAAAAAGTTTGTTAATGTGTGTTTGTTTATTTTGTAACTTAACAAAAGGAGAATGTCATACTTGGTTGTGGACAAAGTTTGATGTCCAAAACAATGAAGTTAGTTTTTACTCTTCATTTCAAAGGGGAACCATAATGCTTACTTTGAACAGGGAGCCTTTCTGTGTCTGCCCACTGTTGTTTTTACAGGTAATAATATTCTCACTAAACAGTTGCAGCTTTTCCAATGGTGAAGCTGTTTACATTTCTAGCCAGAGACATATCATCTTGGTACAAATGCAACATTAATGTCATTTTAAATCAATGCATTTATTAAAACCATTTTGAGAAGTTCACTAACTTACTAAACCTTTCAAAATCCTCACTTTCCTAAAGCAGCACAAATCAGTTTTGCCAAAAGTGCTCTCCTCTCAAAACATTACCACCATTATTTAAGGAAAACGACTAAACAATATAGTGCATCTTGTTGCAGCCCAAAACTTTACTTCAGAAAACAAAAGAACTAATGGACATGAACCACAGGTTGAAAGAAAACAGTTTAGAAAACCAAACAAAAGCGGTCCAGAATCCTTAAAAAATACGGAATAGCCCTTTACTAACGTGCCATATAGGATGCTAACTTCAGGGTCATACAGTAGATCTATGAATACAAGCTATATTACGCAGCTAGAATTTATTTCACTTTCAGAGAGTCAAAACGTTTCCTTGGTGGACCCAGTTCTTTCGAAGAAAAGGTTCACTCAGTAACAACACGGCTGCAAATGCTCTGAACTCATGAACGTTAGCAGTCGACGCGGCCTCCATTTTATGAAGGCCGGGGCTGTTGCGCGGCCTAAGCGACGACATGAGGCTAACAAGGTTTCACTAACTTACCCGTTTTAGCCATTCCAGATATCACTCCTTGTTGTGGCGGAGCCTGGGTCGAAAAACCTGTTCCAGGACTAAACTGGTGCGCTGGAGAGAAAGCAGTGCTCGGCATAGTACCCGGGTAACTCTGGAGAGAAGGGAACGATCCGGGGGGTGCCGGAGTTGGCATCAACCCGTTGCCAGCACCAGGCCCTGCGTCAAACCCGCGTTTAGCACCGATACTGGGGTGCAACTTCCCGAGGGGAGTTGCATTCGCTCCAGTGGCCATTTTCACTCAGCTGTCCTTTAAAATGTCTCTGAATCGATATACTACAAATTCAGGCAAGAATAGTTCAATTTAAACAACGCAGATTTCTGATAGCGTTATCCGTGGGACTTGCGCCTAACGCTTTAATCAAAATGGCGCCTGACGGAATTTTACAAAGCGATCCCGGATAGCGTGTCTCAATAAAACGTTTTGCTATTGGCGAGTCAGACTTTTGTACTCGACGAAGTCATTGGTCAACGTACCTGTTTTTTTTTTTTTGTTTTGTTTTTATCATGATTATTTCTATGCGATAAAGTACCATATAGAATAGAATATAAAACATATCCACTTCACCGCTCTGGCACGATGATCAAAACACATTTCATTTCAGCTCACCGGAACAAAAACACTCGCGCTTTCAGCAACTGTTTATATGGAAATTAATTTCAATTTTGCTTCAAACATCTAAAAGATATACAATAAAATAATGTAAAATATTATGCTGATTAATGTAAAATAATGCTAAAAAACAAAATCAAGGCGTTAAATTATTCATCTTTCTGATTTCATAGTACATTACAGATCTTGATTTTTTTTTATAATAAAATGATTTAAGTTTAAAGACTTAACAATTGCTAAGCATTTTTTTTTACCAGATGTGGCACTGGTTTCAAGCAATTTCTTGAGAGCTTTTCTATTCTCAGGCTAATTTCTCATCTAAATAGTCCTTTTTTTCTAGTAAGAAAAAAACATTCCTCCTTTAAATGCTATTATTTTACATGTAATGGGTAGGAAAACTCTTCTTTTAAGCCTGGCATGTCCAAAGTGAGGTCTGGAAGCTGTTTGCACAAATCAAGAATGGAGCAAATCTTCCCCATTTTTCTTTATGAACTATGTTTATGTTTTCATTTTAATTTTGCTGGAAATGCAACACAAAACAACCCCTCCACACCTCATTAATGTCCCTTTCTTTTTTCTAAGCAGCTACAATTTTATTGCCCAAAATTTCACACTATTCACAGAAAAAAAAGTGGAACTACAAAGCACCAACTCCTTTGGTGCTTTGCATCAGCAATAATTTAACATTTCCTTTTCTACAGCAAAATTGTAAGAATTTAACGGTATTAAAATCTTACAATCTATGTAGTTAATATTAGCTAAACTGTAATGCCAAAAAAAGTTTGGAAACCACCTTATGAACCTTTTTCACATTCTATCAAATTACAGTCAGAAACTTAAATGATTTCAATGGAATCTTATGCAAGTAAAAAAAATTAAAAAAAATCATTAAAAATATTTTAAAAAGACCATCCAATTGTATTAGGCGTACCTTCATCCAACTAACTTTTACTCCAGCCCCATCTCCATTATATCTCCATCAGTTTTCACATGTAGAGGGTAAAATTTGTTTCATTGTTGCGAAATAGTTAAACCTCAGTTTTTTTTATTAAAACGCCCAACCAAGACTTTCAACTGACTTTTTAATGCTGCTGGGTCCCCAGACTCACCACACAAAGCCAGAGTCAGACCTGCTGCTGAGCAAAATACTGAATTTACTTTTTCATAAGAAACAAAAATAATTCTAGAAAAATGAATACAGACACCTGATAGTTTATGAAGTACAACAATAACATCAGTAGCAGTCCAGACCAACTGCATCCTACTGCAGCAGTTCTTCTCTACAGAGGCAGGTAAAGCGAGTAATGTGAACTCGTCCAGCGACGCACCGGCTTCCCCACCCGGCCAATTACTGGAAGCTTATGGGCGTAGGCGCGAGGCGGGTTGGCAGGCAGAGAGGAGGATGAGGAAAACGTGGTCTGAAAGGGCCGGCGACCCTGGCACCGTCGACCCATTTGCCGGCCACCAATGACAAAGGAGAACGCTGGAGGTCCTGACTGTGGCGAGATGAAGCGAGCCTTGGGGAAAACATCCCGAGAAACACCGGCGGAGCGCTGGCCCGAACGAGATGAGGATGACCTGGAGCGTTGCACGGAGGAGGAGCGAGCCAGAGACCTGAGGAGGAAAACAGTGGAAAAGTGGGTCCGCTGCATTCAGAACTAAAACAAATAATGACAACTCAAGACTTGTTATTCTGCTAGCTTTACCTTCCTGCTCCTGTGGCTGCGAGGCTCGGAGGGGGAGGGTCGGTGCGAGGGCTTCCATCTTGTCGTGGACTGATGTTGAGGTTGGCAGTCAGCTGCGGCATTTTACGGGCGGTGTCGGTGTTTGTGGCTGGGCCCAGCGGCTCCTTCCGGGCTTCCCTGAAACAGGCTGAAGCGCAGGGGGGATAGCTCCCAAACCCTGGTCCTGTGCTAAACCTGACGGCCAGACTGTCCCCAAAGAAAGAGTAAAGTTCACTGTACATTGCCGGAAGAGGGACTGGGGACCACTCCTCCCAGGGGCAGCCCGCGCCGCCTGCTTGGAGGTGGCTGGCAATCCCCAGAACGGCTTCTGACAAAGGCTCTGATGGAGGACTGAGGCCTGGGGAGCCCACCCTGTACCCCGCAGACCTGGCTCCAGAACCCGGCTGGCAGCTGGATCCGCCCTCTGCTGTCTGGGACAGAGACACAGCCTTCATCTTCAGCAGACGCTCCACTGCCACCTGCAGGACATAGAACCAAACTGCAATCCTGCTTGTTCTGGTTGACATGACATAATGAGACAAGAGAGTCTGGACTGTCAGAATGAGCTCAAAACAGCATTTTGTTGAAACACAAATGCATTTCTATTTGTAAACAGAACAAGGAATTAAGAGAAAATTAAACTTTCCACAGAAAACCACAGGCTGTGTAAGGTAGTCTAACAGAGAGGTCAGGTGTTTCTTCTGCTTGGACATAGAGCACAGTAACCAGAGAGATCAAGGGATAATTATCTGGTTAGAAAAGCAACAAAAACAGAGGAGCAACCGAAGGCAGCAAAATGTCAATTTGGTGTGAAAAACATCCTGTTCTTCCTGAGTTACATCCAATCTCAAATAAGCAACAGAGAAGATTTTACAATCAGCCATTCTGCTGAAAAAAATGGTAAAAGAGAGGTAACAATGACTGGTATTCAAACAAATAATGTATTCAAGCCCAAACCATCAGCTCTACAACACCATGCTTCACAGCTGGAATCAGGTGTTTGTGCTGATACTAAAGCCCAAATTCTCTTTCTGCTTTAAGAATCTAATTTCCTAAACCAGGCTGTGCCATCAGATCCCTTGTTGAGACAAGAGGCTTTCTGCTGCTCTTATTGTCTTCAAGTTGTCTGAGAACACAAAGTTGAACATTTATCACGGCAAACCTAATCCTCTGGAGTCTGATAAGAAGCTCTAGGGTTGTTTGAAGTCTCTATGGACATTAGATTGATTGGCATGAGCCAGGTCCTGGTAGCTGCATTTCCACTTACCATATAATTGCAGAAAATACCAAAATAAATTTGCTAAACAGAAACACACCCATTTTGGGAAAAAAACCCTCACATTTTTCAAGAAGAGATATTGCTGTTATTGGAACAATAGACAAAACAGGAAGTGGTAGGAGGATGATGGTGCAGCATGTTTTTGTAGAATCATGGATTACTAACAGTTTGGGAAAAGCCTTCCCGGATCGATCAGCAGCAACAAGAACTTCTACAGAGTCATTTCTAATGTCTTTCTGCTTTAGCCTTGGGTTACCCACTTCTATAGCGTTGCAGGAAGCAGTAGGAGGGACTTCAGATTTTCAGACTGCTCCTGCATTTTGTAGGGATGCACCAATAAATCTGCCCGATTTCTTTAGCTTTGAGAAATCAGTCGATCTTCCATGTCAAACCGATTTCATCTATGTCCACAAAGGTGTAAAAATCAACCACTGTCACTTCTGCTCTGCTCAGATAATAATCTGTTTTTTGTTCTTTTTATTCTGCATAATAAGCCAAGACAGTCTTTTTACAGTGTTTGCTGTGAATATGGGTTATGAAGCCTGGAAATTGCTGTGAATTTTTTTCTCTTGTGTTTCCTGAGACAAATGGATGTCGACTGGACTTTTATCATGTTGAAGTTGTGCAACCCGAGATGCTAGCAGTACGTACCAGGATGGCTCCGTAGACCTTGTGTCCATCTGCTTTGACCTGTGCGTTGGACACCGAGTAGTCGTCCAGCACAGCCTGCAGGTTGGCCCAGTAAGCAGGCAGGTGTGGGAAAAGAACTCTTTCCACAGCCTGAAACACACACAGGTTAACAGAGAGATTAGGAGTCTCCTTCAGGACAATATGGAGGACTACAATAGAAAATCAAAACAATTCCTATCAGACTATAAATACATTGACAGACCATCTGGATTTGACTTGAAATGGTTTTTAGCTTCTAGCTCTAGGAGTCCTTTACTTTAAAAGCTACTGATGTTGGAAACAGAATCCTTCCGGCTCCCGGAGGACTGATGCGCATTAGAAGGAAGCTAGAACTTCTATGTGAGGACCAAGCAACTTGAACCAAAATAACGACTAAAAAAAGATGCTGATGTACAGATTTAGGCTTGCACCACTGATGCCAAACACTTCTACTCCAAAAGCAAAAGATTTGGCAGATTTCCAAACCTACCTTCCAACCCAGAGCGTGAAGGCCCACGACCGCTCCGTAATGGGAGCAGAGCGGCCTGACTGGGTCAGAGAGAACCTTCTGGAGAGAGAGCAGGATCTGGTGATAGAGACCACTCACTAGATCACCGTGAGTCCTGGAGAGAAAACTCAAAGTTAGGAGGTTGCATGCAAGATGAGACGTAGTTCATTATCTGCTTCTAGGTTTTATTTCCTGTTTCTCCTTCTAAATTTCTTCTCCATGTTAATGTCCATTCATCCAGTTGCAGTGTTCTGACTCATTACCAGTCTTTAAAATGCATGATCTGTCTATTCCCATTTTGGTCGATGTCAATCTATTTTGGCAAAATAGTCAAATGCAAGTAAAAATCTAAAAGTCTTAATTAAATCAAAGATTGGCTCTAATTAGTGGTGAACTGATTGCAGGTTTATAACTGAATCCAATTTTGACTGATACTATTTTATTTTGTCTGAAATTGCTAAATATAGCAATTTTGTTGCTAAGGTAACATCCATCCATCTCTCCAGTGTCCACCAATCCATCATTCATCCATTATTTAACCAACTGTTACCCATCCATTACCTAGTGTCTGTTCTTTCATCTCTTCATCCCAGAGGTTCTAAATCTAAAGATTGACAACTGGAGATTTACCTGCCCACCACTAATAGTAACATTTTGGAAAAATACCAGAAGATGTGGCTGAGTAGCAGGGCTGCGTAGTCCCGGAGGGTCCAGTGGTCATTGAGTGGGTTGATGGAGGCGGCGAGTGGCTCCAGGATGCAGTACATGACGCTGGAGACCAGGCTGCGGACGTATGAGCCCAGGTACAGGTACGGGTTCTGGACCAGGCTCTTCACCATGTGCAGGAGCCTGTTGAGCTGCTCCAGGTCGTGGCTTACTGATTTGACCTGGAACGACGCACAGATACAAGGATCAGCAAGTACAGCGGCACTCGGCTCTAATCAAAGCAATGAGGTGAGAACGGTCACCTACTCCACTGATGACATAGACAAAGTATGGCAGCAGGGCAGCAATTTTTGAGTTGGACTGAAGGTCCAGCAGAGCCATCTGAAACACAGAGAGAAGCAATAAAGAAGCAGCACATGCTGGCAGGCAGTGATGTCAGTAACACATTACTATGTAATAACTCTATGTACCATGTAACGCGTCACTGATGTTGAACCACTTTTGTCAGTAACGAGTAATCTATTTCAAATCCAGTAGTACCGTAATCAGTAATCTGATTAAAGTTACTTTTTCAAAGTAACTATGCCATCACTGTTGGCCGGTCAGAAGCTGTGCTGAGCAGCAACTCACCTTCATAAGGTGGGGGTCATCTCCCAGGATGGCTCTGGTGATCTGCTGGTAGTACTTGAGCAAGTCATCTGACAGAGTCTGCACAGCGGTGGGAACTATGGGACCACAACCAAACAGGACGAGTTTCAATCAGGGTCAGAACTTCATAATCTTGGGTGATCAGCAATCGGCTGATTCTTAAATCTGAAACCAAATCTGATCTTCGTGAGAAAAGCTCTGAAAATCAGCCACCGTCTTCTTCTGCTCTGCAATGAGGTCTGAGAAGGCTGAATTTGTTTGCAGCCTTAAAGGAGTATTAACTTGATTCCTAACTCTGAATGGTTGAGCCTTACCTGTCCCCTGAGGCTCCACGTTGCCCTTGCCATCCAGATATGCCACATTAACTGGAAGGATACATCAGACATCATCAGTACATAATTTCCTTCTGCAGATTAGGAAAAGTAAGTTTCAGCAGCACCAAGGATGCAGCCGCCGTCCTAACAAGTCTGACAGCATACCTCGCACCATGGTCTCAGCACAACCTTTGGGAATGTTGGTGGCCAGCGCCAGCTCTATCAGGTTAATTTCACGGTCCTCAACAAAGAACAGCTCTCCCTCTTTGACGGATCGGAAAGGCAGAGCATCCTGTGCCCCATAACCACAGACGGCCTGATAAGGAAGCAGATATCAGGCCACCGGAGGGAGCAGCAGCAGAGACATGCTGACAGGCATTAGGTCTCACCTCCACTCGGCTCCATCGCAGGGCTCTGTTCAAGTCCTCCACAGTCAGCTTCCTCCTCTTGGCATGTCTCATGAACTGGGAACTTGTCTGTTTGGGTCACAAACACATAACCAGAGGTGTCCAAGGAACAGCAAATTTATTCTTTTCTTTTCATTATGAATACATATTTATAATGTGATAATAATAATAAAAAAAAAAAACAGCCAGGAAGCTCTGACCTGCGCTGCCTCCCTGAGGCGGTAACACACATCTTCAGCAAGAAGAGCCGCTACATCATCAGCAAGATCCACGCCGGTGCTCTCTGCCATGAGCTTGACGGAGTCCCGGGAAACCTCAGCAAAGCGCCGCTCCTCGCGGTCTGCCATGGCAACCGGGCTACGCAGAAACTGTCGCAGGTAAGGTGTTAGGATATCCCAGCTCTCTTCCGTCTCTCTCCCTATAGATAACAGCAGCAACAGAAGGTTATGTAAAATGAAGAAAAAGAACAAATTAGAGACGCAAGCGGCGTTGGAGGCCCTCGCAGCGAAGAGCGCCGCCGGTGTTATGTGGAGAAATGCGTGAGCGCGCATTGCTCTAAACTACCTTCTTCAAATCAGACAAAATTGGTGTCAAACATTTGTGCGGCAAAATTTTTTAGTTGTGCTCCTATCATTTTAGAGATATAAAGAAATGTTTCCAGAGGTCATTGAAGGTCAACCAGCCCCCCACCTTCTTCTAATCACACACAATAGGTGTCAATCAACTCAGCTATGTTAGTACTGGCACAAACGGAAACATAGCACAAACGTTTGACACCAATTTTGTTTGATTTGAAGAAGGTGGGGGGGGCAACTCACTCAGGTTTGTATATTGATGAGAAAACGGACTGAAAACCGACCGAAGAGGAAACTTTTAAAGATATTTGTAACATTATCACATTTCTTAACCATGTAAAAAACATGATGGTCAGAACTGATGATGCTCTGCTTTCAGGTCAACAGCTATTGTTATTGCCATTTCATTTTGTAAATAACTCAAAATGCCCAAGGACACCTCTTCAGTGCTTTGTTGTGGCCAGTCACGTTTAAGATGAACAGAGAAAAACACATGAGTCAAGAGACTAATCTTTTCATTTCAGTTTGCGTCATATATTAAGATGTTATTACAGGCGCAATTTCAAATGCAGTGGTCTTTAACAGCTTGCTAAATGGGTTAACTGGTCCTCACCCTGAAAAAGTTTGAGAAACACTGAATTTGAGACGTATACAAACTACAAGGCAATTCAAACAGCTCCCGCCAACAGCCGGTGTCGTCACAATCATACAGCAACAGTCTTCAGTCAGAGGCTTCTTCAGATTTGTTGCAAGACGAACTGTTACAGGAGATCCTTCCTGCCCACAGCGTCATTATCCACAACAACTCTTTGAAGATAACATTTTATTGCAAATGACCAGATTTTAAATGCCTTTTATCCCCACAGGAGTGTTATCCCCGGTAGGATAGGATAACACTCCTCAGGAACCTGATCAACACATTTCTGGTTCTGAACAGACTGTAAAGGAGCACTTTACCGAACAGCAACAGCCTCCAAGTTCATGTTCTAAGCTGAATATGTCAGTCGTGTGAACAACGATGTGACTAACACACGAAATGAAGTAGACTGAAAGTGGGCAGCGCTGCAGTGACGCTGTGATGAACAGAGTTAACCTGCAAACAGAGGGAGGAAAAACCTCCAGCGGACTTCAGCTGAAGCTTCCCGCCGCTGTCTCAACAAACAGCTACAAACAGGAAATGAAATGGAGCCAACGAAAATTGATTCAGTTCAATTAAATTTACCTTAATTCGACTGAAAACGGAGAATATTTTTTTCCTCCTCCTCCTCCTTCTTCCTTTTCTTTTTCTTGGCGCATCGCAAACAACTCCATGGTCCACACCGCCACCTACTGCACGGGAGTGTAACAACATGGACCAGCATCCATTCAATTCTGTTTCTTAAGTTTGGTGTAATATTTCTTCGTCGTCTGGATTTCTCTTGAAGGTTGGGCAACTTTGAGGTGCACAACTGAAACTTGTTGGTAAGGAGTTTAGATCAAAATGAAACACTTAGGTAGCAATTAACTAAAGTTGATCTAAAGTAATGAAATGAGATTGCTCAAAACAGAAAAACATGATCTTGGAAAAGGTGCATGTTTTTTTTTTTTTTTGGACGTGTAATCATTTATTGGGAAGGAAAAAGAACTGAGTTAATTAAAGACTATGTTTCCTTTGTTTTGGTTATGAGTAGGCTGGTGGATTAAGTGCTTCATCTGTTGTTCCATTTCCTTGTTCTTGCAACCCTGACTTTCAAGTAGACCTCTTCAGCGTCATTTTATGAAAACAGGTCTGCCAAGAGAAGTCCAAAGGAGCTCTACTGCAGCACAGACAAGCTCCTGCTTTGTAGACTCAAGTAAAAGGTGCCAATTTTTCCCCACACAGACTGGACTTGCAAACCATTACACAGCACAAGCCACAAAGCGCTGAAGTGATTGTTAAAATTTGTTTTTATTTACAGCACTTCATTTATGCAGCTCATGGTTAGAGTACCACAGTTAAAAAGTTAAATTACTGTCAAAGCTGGAGGACTTCCTGTTCAGAGACGCTGAACAGTTCCAGCTCTTTGACCTGCTGGTCAACAAGTCAAACAACTTGTGTTTAAAACAAAAAAGTACATGTACAGACAGCCTCCTTTAAAAGGGAATTAAAAACTAAAAAAAAATAAAACTGTTCCAAGTGCTCATGCAAATTCTAATTTGGACCACAGGAACTCAGACTGCCCTGCTGTCCCAAACCTCCTGGCCCTTGGTGCTCTCTAGCTGCTGCAGATGGATAGCCAGGGGCAGCAGGAGGTCATTCAGGTGCTGGCTGGAGAAAGTGAAGGCATTGTGGACCATGACCTCTGGGGATGGGGCAGGAAGAGGGGAGGTTGATGTGGAGGAAGAGGTTGACCCATTGGATGAGATTGAAGGTAAACCTGCAGTGCCTGGGGTTGTCTGGGGAGACGGGCACTGTCCTTTGCTGAGGTCAGCAGTCTTGATTTTGTTGGGGAGTCCATGCTGAAAGCAGCAGCTTGTACCATAGAGGCAGAAACCAAAAGAGCTGAAGGTGTGGCAAAGCGCACCACGAGGCCTCCATGCCTTGTGCTGGGGTTGAATCTGGTCTGTAGGGGCAGGTGAGTTGGGGTCCAAAGCAGCAGCTGGAGACCCACCCTCCAACACCTCATCCTGAACATGCAGGAAGTTACAGCGCTTGCCAAAGGGACAAACCCCATTGGCGAGGAACTTGCGACAGGGAATGTTCCTACGGTGGCGTTGGACCTGCCTCATCTCTGTGGGGCTGTGGACAAACAGGCAGCGACCTCCATAGAAGCAGTAGCCTGTGGTGTGGTAGTTGCGACAAAGCTCAGTCTTGTACTTGGGGTGGCGGAAAGGCACGTGGAGCTCACAGAGGCCGTGAGCAAACTGGCAGCGTTCAGCGTATTTACAGAAACCACTGGCTGCATAGGTGGTGCACAGTGCCGTCTTATAGCGGGTGGAGCAGACAGAGGGGACAAGAGGAGAAGAGGGGGGCTCCACCAGGGGCAGCAGGGCTTTGGTCAGGGAGGAGCCAGCGTCACAAGCAACCTCCGAGTCATCACTGCACAGCAGGTTGTCTACCAGGTCTTTATCTTGAGAAGATGGCAGGAACGGGTCACAGCTGCTATTCTAGGATAGATGGGAAACAGTAAAGCATTACAACACCCATCCACACACTTTGGAAGGTCTTAGACTTGAAAATGTTGCATGTCTGCTTGACAAACGTATTCAATGCTACAGGCCAAGAATAACCAGTCAAAAAGTCAAAGTGCAGACTTCCCAGAGACAACAGTCCTCTGTTAAGTCCTTGGTGTCCAGATTAAACCAGAGTCCTACTGGTTTAATCAAGTCTCTGCTCAAACCCAGCTGATTCAAATGAACTTTGACACCTCAACAAATCAAAGTTCTGCATGAGCCTGCCAACAGGCCATGCAGGATACTAGCTCCTCAGAACTGACTAACCATGCAGCATCACCTTGGTCATCACTTCCTGACCTCATGAAACATTCATGCAAATGCTTGGAAACAACCGACACTTGATTTGTACGATCAGGGAATGGCAACACAATTCCAGCAAGCAACTGAAGGGTAGGAAGAAACCCTTCATGTGCACTAAAGAAGTCACCCAGACAGCAGTGAAGTGATGACTTGTGCAAACATCTGATGTTACAGAGTTTAGGAATTACTAATCTGATCCAGCAGTATAGGGGAAGTTGTGGAAAATTCTTCTGTGTTTCAAAAACATTATGAAGATCAAGACTAAAGCTAAATCTCTAGTTTCCAACACCATCAGCCAAGCAAGGCCCAGTCTTACCTCAAACATGACTGCAAATGTTACTTGTGATTGGTGGCAGTGGTGCAGAATAACATCTGGGGGGGAAGAAAACCTGGACGACTTCAACTCCCAGCCTGAGTTTGTCTTTTAAACAAGTGCTCACCTCCTGCCTTCATGCTTAATGAACATCAGGTGTGCAGAAGTCCAGCAGCCAATCACAGCCCAGCAGCGTTATCACTGCGATCAGACAACCTTTGCATCAAGAACCTTCTGTAGTGGTGTTTCATCATCATCATCATCACCACCACCATCATCAGTTTTATTAAAGACACAAAGATGTCCTCATGAAAATAAGTCTATATTCTTATTCAGTATTTCTATTTCAGTTTAAGGAGTTCATGAATGTGAACTTGAAGACAAAGCACTCCATTTGATTTCCCTTATTTTTCAGACATATATTATTTTTATATTTATGTAATTATAGGCACACTTGTGTTTTTGGTTGTGATCTTGACTGGGCAGTTCATGAGAGCTGGAGTAGGTGGAGACAAGTGTGGGAGGAGATTAATCAGGGAGGAGCAGCTGTTGATTATCTATGGGAATATCATAATCAGCATCCTCCTATGCGTACAGAAGAGTAGTTTCTCTGTCTAAAGAGAATCCTTCATCAGAACTGGAGATCAGAACATGGCCGACATTCTACCTAGTGAAGTTTTTAGAGGGACTACTGGACTGGCGCACAGATTTATGGATAAACTGAAAGCAAGTCTGTATTGGATCAATAAGATCCAATACGATACATTTCAGATTCCCCCTTGAAATGTTTTGTATTGAATCTCAAAAAACGTTTTATTTTGATTTGCACTCACATCATAATTTCTTTCACTTTGTTTAGGACAAAAAGCACATTGATTTGTTTTTCTATTGCGTCTGTCGTTAATTTGTAGACACTTTGTCCAAACTTTGCTTCAGGTATCAACAAAATGAAAGGAAAAAAAAAACACACCAACACCTCCTGAGGTGAGAAGTTTGATATATCAAACTTTTATAATAAATCGTATCTGTGATTTCTAGGTACTGGGTCAATAATATAACATGCAGCATCACAAACCTCTGCGGGGGAAGTTTTTCAACGCTGCAGTAAAAAATTACAAAGCAACAGTTCAGCTCGACACAGTGCTAAAAAGATACAGCTACAAGATGAAGAGAAAACCAGCTGTGATTAAAGCAGGTCTGAACACAAAGAAAAAGAAAATCTTTATTTTTCTTAACAAGATACATTTAAGGATACAGACGGAATAAAAATAAAAAATAAAAACAATTGAGAAAACCTTTTATTGTGGCATGTTAGTCTCTCTCCTTTTACAAAAATCAGCCCCTGTCCCTTCTGAAAGTCACCCCTCCCCAACCTGTTGACTGGACATGTTAGAGTAATCTCCACCATTAAGGAGAAGCAGTTCCTTTTCACTTATTTCTTTTAAAAAAAGGAGCCAATCTTTTTTTAATTTACATGGCTTTGTACAAGCTACACTCTAGACTTTTTTTAGTTTTTGAAAAAGTTAGTCCACAATGGGACCAATGTGTAAAACTGGTGTAATACCCAGAAACTGTGGATATTTCAATAATTTTCAAACAGCAAATGAACAACTTCCTTTCAGCGTTCGCCCTAATAAGACAAACTGGGGAGATAAAAACACCAAAACACCCGAATCCCAATCAGAAACTTGGCTTCTGTTCAGAAGAGAGTTATAGCCACATGAAGAACTTCCTGATCAACACTCTAAAAAAAAAAAAATTATTATTATTTTTTAAATTTATTGCTGCTTAATCTTTTTAGAAGATGACAGGTTGCATAAGAAAAATCATCATTATTCAATCTGATGTTATGTGAGGGGTTAACGGTGATGCTCTTTTTGGATCTCTTGTCCACCTGCAGTTGACAACCTAAAAGCTAAACTAACAATGCGGCAGGTGACACGGTTACCAACGAGCCCAGCTCACACCGTTCCTTTGATGGGAAGCCAAACGTCGGATCAAACTGAAACGATGACGGATCGCTTGGACTGAGCAGCTGACCGCTGCGCTCAGCAGCAGGCTGACATGGAGAGAAATCTATTTACAAAAACATACCAGATGCAGAAGAAAATCAAAATGTGCTTCATCACTTTTTTGAGGTGAGAAATATCAGAATTTAAATTATACATTTGGAAAACGTAATAAGACGGGCTGTTTAATAATCCAGGATTTATGAGAGCATGGAAATGTGAAGCTGCTTTTTATTTTAAATAAGAAAAAATATTCTGTCATCTGTGTGTGCTGAACAAGACATGTTTAGGGAGAAAAACAAGGAAACAAAAACTAAAAACAGGAAAGATCAGAGTACTTTATGGCAATGTGTGCTGCCTGGGAGTCAAACCCTCAGCGGTTCCCTCCCCAGCCCCATGTCCCATTAAAACACCCCCCACCAGGCTTCAGTCTTCCAGGACGATGGGCTCGCTGGTGCTGGAGGGGAGCAGCGGCATGGCCAGGGAGCGGGGCGGAGGCGGCAGCTTGATCCGGACCAGCAGGTGAGGTTTTCTTGCTGCCCGGCGCATCTCTGACTGGGTCAGGTGTTTCCTCAGAGCCCTGGTGGAACCAGAGCAGCAGCAGGTTACCAACAGGAGCCCGATCTCTCACCAGGGCCACATTCACACAAAAAGCATTTTTGGTGGCACACTGATGAAACCTTCATTACCTCTATAATTAAAAGCTACCATGGTGACCAGATTAAGTCCAAACCTCCAGAAATGAGCAGAGGGCTCACTCAATTTGTTCTGAGTTAGCAACTTCTACTTCCTGTTTTTTACAGCCATGCGTAGGGTCAACGTCTGACGAAAGTAAGCTTTGATTCGTTCCAAATTAGATGGAAACATGCCTGATCAGCATTTCAAAGGTTTGTTCAAATTTCGCATGACAGTTGGATGGAAACATGAATTTAGAGATTTTAGAAATTTAAGGAAACTACTGGCTGCTAAGCTTAGTAGCCAGTTACTTACTATACTTACTTACTATAACTATCAGTGTTAAAAAAATTATGAGACACTGGAATCAAACATCAAACAGTCTTTTTTTTAACATGAAATTTTCATCCAGTGAATAAATTAACTCAAGTTAAATATCCCACTTGTCTTTATCAGGCGGTCAGTAAAAGGCTGACCTGTGGTTCTGACGCCAATCAGCTGTGACGTTTACCTGGTGTCCTTGGTGGCCACAAACACCACAGGATTGGGAGCTTCTCCCTGGCTGACCTTCTGCCGCTTGATGACCGACTGCGACGTGGTTCTCATGCCTGATGTGTACGGCCTCCCATTGGCTGGGTAGGGCACCCCTGTCGCCTGTCACAAGAAGAACGAGTTAAGCAGAGTAACACCGAGCATGCATCCGTCATGCTAACAGCCCCGTGAGAAACACTGACAGAGTCAAAGCCTCTCTTTCCCAGCAGGCTTTGGGCCACTCGAGGCTGGCTGGCCTGGTTCCTGTTGATGGGTGTTGGAGGACCTCTAGAGGCCTTCAGCTTCAGAGGAGCTGAGATGGCTGCAGAGACAACAAGAACAAGATCAGCTGCACACATCCCAGGAACAGCAGGGGTCAACACAGGCCAATCACACACTTTCCTGCTAGACCACAGAGATGCCAGAAAAATATTTATTAGAAGACATCAAATTAATAGTCCGTAAATGTATATAATTCTGATTCTGAGAAAAAACAGTCAGAATTCTGAGATTAAAGTTTCATCAACATTTGTTTTCCCCAGTGGCCTTGATCCTCTCCCATACAGATTATAACGTTAACCACTGGAACGATCACTGTGTTTTTAGCGAACAGAAAGGTGATCTAAAAAAAAAAATCAAACTCCATGTCTCACCTAAATCCTTCACTATAGTGGCCAGAGACTGTCGAGGTATCACCTTGCTCTTTGACGGAGACTTAGTGGCTTTAGGCAGCCTGATCATACCTGAGGAAACAAACATTCAGACCGATGTCAGAAGCACATTTGTCAGTGTGAACCTTGCTGAGGTGTGTATTCATACACTCAGCCTTGACGGCGTTGGCGTTGATGGAGGCGTAGGGTCTGCGTGCGGCGCGGCGGGGCTGCAGGATGTCCTCACACACCCGCCGTGCGATGCGGGTCAGCTTGGTGGTCTGCAGGATGAAGGTCTGCCGGTTCTTGGCCAGCAGCTTGGCTCGGCCCTCGTTGCGAGTGAACGGTGACAGACCCTGGACCTCCTGGCGGGTCATGTGACTGCGAGAGCCCGACTCCTGCACACAAAGTGCAAAGAAGATGAAGATGCGAAACACTTGCTGACGAGGTTTAACAAGCAATGTGGTTCCCTTACAGAGCCGGCTCTAGCTGCTCCTTCCAGCTGAGTGGGGGTCTTCAAACCGCCATACTTCTTCCAGTAGATCCAACAAGAAGAACATAGTCTGCACTGCATGTTTGGGGGGCCCCATGCATACCACTGAGGAGACTGGGCCGCTGGTGAGACAGGAGCTCCAGGTTAGAGGGAAATACTTCAGCCAGAATTTGATTAGAAAGCAGTAAAGCAGAAACTCTGCAGCAGCGTTTGCATCACACTGCTTAGGAAAAAAAAACAGGGATGACCTGACCAACTTTTTTCACCATTGATACCAACATCTGAGATTTAGTGTCAGCCCATTCAGGAAAAACAGCTGAACTGGCTTAAAATGTTTTTAAAACCACTAAAATCCAAACAAAACTGGGAGAGGGGGCAAAAAGGTTCCCGTCGCCAATCAAAGTAATAACTAACCGCTAATAAATAGCATCGGCTAACATTGGGAGAGGAGGCGAGAAGCTAAAGTCACCAATTAAAGCGAAACTTCAAACGTAGAAAGGCTAACGCCGTTAGCTCAGCTCCAACATGTGTACAAACACAGTGGTTATGAGTTGGAGGAGGAGGCGCTGTCATCCCCAACAAACAGTACCTGGAACGCAGATCCGTCGCAGGAGGGCGACACACCGCTACTGCGGCCAACAGGCAGCAGGGCGTCCAACGACGGTGAAAATGGCCAGAAACCCAAAAGGCCGATGCCATTCAACGCGAATCGCAGAAGAAAAGAGCCTCCGCTGACGTTATGCTATTTAGCTTCTGATTGATCCTCCGATATGTCACAGGTGTAACTTTGATATTGTTGCTCGAACAGCGCATGCGCGAAGGGAACATTCAGTGCGTTCAGCACCGCCCTCTGGCGGTCAGTAGAACTTTCACACTGCGCCGAGTCAAACCAACCAAATCCTTTGGACAACCTGTTCCCCTCCTTACCTGTGGTGGTGCAACACCAACAATCACTACAGAAAGCAACATGAAAACCTCTGAAGAAGACACAGAGCGCAACTTCCTTCTCCACCAAATGGAAACAAAAATGCTGTGGAGTCAGACTTTAGAGGTTCAGGGGTCTCAGGGTCTCAAACTCCAGTCCTCCTTGTGTAGATCAGTTCTCCAGAGCCTTGCTAATGACCTAATTATTCTATTCAGATGTGGTGCAGCAGAGGCACATCTAAAAGTTGCAGGACTGCAGCCCTCGAGGACTGGAGTTTGAGACCCCTGTTAGAATTTCTATTGTGTCTTTGGTTACACACAAGTGTACACACTTGTGTGTAACCAAAGACACAAAGACACAATAAGTTTCATAAGCATAAGTTTCTATTGTTTCTATTTCTATTGTGTCTTTGGTTACACACAAGTGTACACACTTGTGTGTAACCAAAGACACAATAAGTTTCATAAGCATAAGTTTCTATTGTTTCTATTTCTATTGTGTCTTTGGTTACACACAAGTGTACACACTTGTGTGTAACCAAAGACACAATAGAAATTCTAACAGGACAGCTCTACCAAAAACACTTACACATTTGTTTTGGCTGTATTTACCTAGAATGCAATGATCAATCGTCAGCTTCCTGCATTTGGAGCAGTCTCTAGTCTACATTCGAACTGCCCCAGAGTGCATCTCATCTGAACCTAGACAGGTTTGTAAAGTTTGTTTTTCTTTGGTTTGCATCAGAGTTTGATTACGTATTCACACCTCTGAAAACAAAGCGGATTTCAAGGCAGATGGACTGGAGTACCTTTAAATCAGGACTGAAGACATTCTTGTTTACAACAGCTTTTGATCAAACAATCAGACTAATGAATGTTTGAAACAGACAGTTGCTTTGTTTTTGTGATACATCTATATTTTGCCATTTTCTTTGTGGGTTTCCTTTGATGTCCTGTAAAGCCTGTTAGGTGACCCCATCTATGAATGGTGGTGTGTAAATAAACGTCCATTCAGCTCCACTTCAGTAATTCACTACTTTGAGCTGCTCTGCTTCAGAAAATCCAATGCAGTTTGTGGTTGTAGCGTGACTAAATGTGTTAGAGCGTCTTGCAGGATCAGGGTGGGAGGTGTGTGTGTGTGTGTGTGTGTGTGTGTGTGTGTGTCCCCTCTTACTGTGGCAGCTCTCGCAGCTCAGTCCCTTCTGGAAGCCTGTGGCTCCGTTCAGGCCGGGCTTGCTGCCTGGCATCATGATCTGATTGGGGTTGGGTTTGGTACTGGAGCACACAGAACAGCAGGGAGTTTTTGTGAGAAGGTTGGAGCTGGAAGCAGATACTGTGTGTAGCAGCTGATACTCACTAAGTGGGGATGTAGACCTGTTTGAGCTTGCTGTCTGCCTCTGCTGCCTTTAGTCGTTTCTGAGGAAAACATTCATGGTTGGTAAACATCAGGATGACCACATGAGGGATGAACTTGTGTTTCAGGTGTCTTTCTGTTGTGTGACTAGCTGAAGACTGACCTGCTGGATGTAGCGGTCGGTGGTCTTCCACATGTAGTAAAACTGGACTACGCTGGCCAGAGACTTCCAGGGCAGCTGGTGATCAGGAAACAATAAATCTTTAGTTGCCTCAGTAGATTACTGCAAATCACACCGCAATCAGACAGGAGAGCTCACAAAGTCCTGACGGATGTCGTTGAAGTCTTTGCCGTATTTCTCCAGTGCCTCCTCAAACAGCATGGCCTCCGAGGCGCTCCACTCCTCCATCTCGTCCCGGCAGAGCACTGGACCCCCCTGAGGGACCAGCGTGGACATGGCCCTGGCCAGGTCGTAGTTGTTCTTCTGCAATGTGTCCATGGCATGGAACTAATGCAACAAAGAACATTAGTACGTCATTACTACAGCTTTCTGTTGCACTAAGCTGTACATGCAGACGCACACACAGAGACATGAGTGGATTTTGCCATGGAGAAGTCCTTCAAGATGTAGAGATTTTAGGATTTTTGATTTTTAAAAAGTGAATGAAAATCAAAGAACTCGCACATTAAAAAGTATTCACAACCTTGTCCATGAAGCTCCAAGCTGAACTCAGGTGCCTCCCATTTCCTCTGATCATCCTTTACACGTTTCTGCAGCTTAACTGGATTAACCTGTGCTAGACTCTGGCAGTTGGACAGGAAAGGTACGCAGCTGTCTATATTGAAGTTTCACAGCTGAGTATGTGTTGGAGCATAAATCAAGAAGGAAATCAAAGCAGCTGCCTGTAGACCACAGAGACAGGATGGATGCTTCCTGTCTCTGAAGCATGGATGGATGCAGGACAAGCAGGACACCAACTGCAGCTGAGCCAGAGCCAGATCTGAATCTGACTGAGTGTCTCTGGAAGTTTCTGAAGATGGCTGAGTACTGACATTCTCACCAGCCTGATGGAGCTGGACAGGTTCTGCTGAGAGGAATGGGCCGAACTTCCAACAGACACAGCTGCCACAGGAGAGGTTGGACATCCTTCTGTACATGGGATCTTTTAAGTTTTTATTTGTAATAATAACTTACTTTGAATAACTTTTCCCATTGGCATTAAGGAGTTTTGTGTGTAACACTGTCAGCTTCCTAAAATAATGGCCCAAGTAATTTTTTGCTAAAAGCAATTTTGTCCCCCCTAAAACATCTTTGAGAAGAAAAGAGGTAATGATTTATTTATTTTTTTCACTTTGGCCTTTATTTTATGAAGGTGACAATATGAAAAAAGTGAAGTAGGCTGGAAATAAACTTTCTTTTACATACATCTTAACATAAGACTTAGTTCCAGTAAACTCTGTTGAAACCACATGTTCCAGTGGGAAACAGTCTATGTGCAGGTTGGACTGCAGGTTTTGCAAAGTGTGTGTGCGTGTGTGTGTGTGTGCGTGGAGATGTGTGTGTGCGCAAGTTTGGCTCTAACCAGTGTGATGTCTCTGGAAGCTGCAGCTGCACTCATGTGGAGGCTGGGCTGACGGATGGAGCTGCTGCAGTCCAAGGCCCGGGCAAACGTCCCCACAGCTCTGAAATGCACACACACACCCATCAGACCCTGACATCCTGCTCTACTGCTTCTGGTGTTCCTCTGTGTACACTTCATCAAACAGCCACTAGAGGGAGCATCTGGCTGATGTACCATAACTATAAGAGATTCCCCAGAATCAAACAGTTTCTGTAGATGTAAACAAACAAATTAGATAAGCATAGAGATGATAATTCAAGCAGCAGTGCCCTGTTTGCCCAGTAGTTAAATACATATTCTGATATGACAGAAGGCATTCTCTCTCCATGTTCATTGAGACATAGCAGTCTGATCTTCACTGCTTTACCCTGATGGCTAATGCTTCCATCAATTGTACCCAATTGATGGAAGTTTGCTTGGAAATTGCCATGGCAACAGGTTCTAACTGCAGGGTAGCAGATGGTGGGGAAGTGTCACCTTGCAACAACAAGGAACTGGTCGATCTGGGCGTCCTTCAGCTGGTTGCTGGGGTCCCAAACTTTTGTTTCCATCTTCTCCTGGACCCGGGTGTCAACTTCATCTGAGAGACAAATGGACAAAAAGTTCAATGCTAACTATGACACCAAATCAGCTACAAGTGGCTTAAGGACAGGGAAGTCAATGTTTGAGTGTCCATCACAGGACATCTGTCCCAGAGAACCTGAGTAGATCTGAAAGGTGTGTGAGTGATGAGGCCTACCAACCTGACCCAGTTCTACCACTTCTGTTAAGGAGAATGGGCCAGAACTCCAGTTAGCTACTGAAAGAAGCTTGAGGAATGCTACCAACTGCTAAAAAATGGATGGAAACTTCTGAATTTAAACCAAAGTATAAACATTCTTTCCGATTATTCTGGCATTTTGAAAACAGAACAAATTTTAATAATCCTAACAGATTTAGAACAAGGAAAGCTTTAATCTGGTGTCACAGGAAAATAAAAACATCTGTCTTTCACAGTGTTAAAGGAAACAAACCTTCAGCGAGTTTGTCAGGAATCTCTGCCTGGTATTTAGAGCCCACCCGGATCTCCCCCTGATCAGCCAGCAGCGTCTTCTGGACAGGGTCAAACACCAGCGAGTAGAAGAAACAGTCCTGGACAGGAGATGTTGAAGGGTTGAAGCTGCGCACCATTTGACCTTAATCTTAATTTTTTTCTCAAAAAATGAGCAGCAGGAACAAGGTGCCCCTGAGAAATCGCCAAGCTCAGCCTTACTTCCTTCTCCAGGTAACCAGCCAGAACGTCCGTTTCATTGAGGAGGGTGACGTTGCATTTTCCCCTGGGGACAGAGAGGAGCAGCAGTAAAACATCCACCATGGAAGAAACAGATCATTTGTGTGCCTGAATAAAAAATGGCAACCTAGCAAACTTTAACATTTAAAAGTTAACAGAAACAACGGCCTGCAGTGAGGCGTTGTATTGGATGTGTGTGTTTCTGGTGAGAATGTGTTTCCCCTCAGTGTTAAGACTGCTGACTCCACATGAACACGTACCGTATATGAGTGGCAGGTAGAGACTCAAACTGTCGAGACAAGAAAAGCTCCCTGTGTTTCAGCTGGTGCTTCTGCTGCTCAGACAGCGCCGGCTGCTTGGACTCCTCCTCAAACTCTCCTGAAAACAGACACAACAGAATCAGAATCAGACGATGGAGCAAAACACAGAACTGAAATACCTGCTGTGTTAAATAAAAACACTCATCTGCAGATTATACTGTGGGACATTAACAAGAAGTTTAACTCAAAAACTAATGGGGTAAAGGTGAACTGTTAAATAGTTTTATCTGACACAAGCAGGCAGTTTTATCAAAGGGAATCAAATTTGTATAGAAAAGTCTTTCAACAGAGACTGAAATAATTTTACAAAAAAAATAATAAAATCATGACTTGGCATTTTGCCACTGCCACCTGAGAGCCTCTAGTCCCAGTTAAAGTTAGAATAAAAACTACAGGAACATTTCTATCTCCCTTTGATCTGAAATTACTTAAAAAGAAAAGCACCAGACAGACGTATCAGATACTTTACCCACTCTAAACACACACAGAGAGCGAGCCCTCTTTGAAAAGCCTCACCTGCTGATTCTGATATTTTTGTCTGAAAAGTTGTTACATATAGCGACAAAACCTAAAGAAATTATCCGCTTTATTTTTTCACTCTCACTATGTGAGGAATCTATGCGTGTGTCATTTAAGAAAATGAATGATGTTTTTATTGAATTACTAAATGAAATGAACTTTTCAATATTACAGCTGTTGAAAATAAAAACTAGCAGTTCCAACATCCAATGTTTCATCCCCTGCCACTTCATGTCTGCTGAACATGGTGGGTTATAAGTCATGTCTACCTTCGTTATATTAATCATCAGTAGAATGTTTTGTAAAAGTTTACAGATTCAAGTGAAGAGGTAAGAGAACCAGAAGTACTTCAGATACTTCCTGGTTTGTTCCGAGTCCTCCTAGAAAGTGAAACAGGCATTCATCATCTCATGCATGTTCACGACTGTTAAAACTCACTGCAAGTATTTCATAAGAACAAATGCACAACTTATGTTTTTGTCAATAAAAAAACTCAACTACAGGCAGCTGTTTGTATCTTTAGGTGAACTTGGCCACTAGACTGCGCATTTCTAATTTCAGCAGCAGGGTGAGTAATTTGTGGCAAACTGGAGGGGAGGGCTGATTTTGCTCAATCTCTGTGGACTCCGCCCCTGCACTCGGCCAAAGGAAACCCTGTCAGTGAGGGCATGGGGGGAGAAAGACACAGTAAGACACAGTGAGAAGGACAGTAACTCAGGCCACACCCCTTTTCCTCTTAACCTCTCAACCCCCGCCCCTCCTTCTCCGTCCGACTGGTCCCTGCCAGATAAAGTGGGAGACCCTGTGCAGCAAACCTGAGGCGCCCATCCCCCCAAAAAACATGCATCCTCTCCACACACACACACACTCACACACACACACACACACACACACACACACACACACGCACGCACACACACACACACACCGCCAGAACCGAAGACATTAAGCGACAGCCACCTTAATCGGATATAATCTCAAAACACACAGAACACACACCTTCCATAACGAGAAAAAAAAGAATAAGGAGGAATTAACTCTTTCTGTAGGCCTCAGTAAGCAATCAGCGGCCTTCTGTTTTGCACAAAGAACTCGTTTGTGTGTGTGTGTGTGTGTGTGTGTGTGTGTGTGTGTGTGTGTGTGTGTGTGTGTGTGTGTGTACTGAAGGAGGAAGAGGAGGGAAGATGCGGTGAAAACAGCAATAAGCTCAAGCAATTAAGACAAATGAACAGTAGTAGAGAGACTGAAGGGCTGGAACCATAGCAGCCCATAGCTGACCTGTTCACACTGGGAGAGGTTCAACGGTTTATACATGTAATAAAACGTCAGCAGGCTGACAGCTTACACTACATTTAATATTTAACACTGCTTCATGCAGACACGCAGTGCCTATAAAAAGTATTCAACCCCTCGGGATGTTTTACATTTGGCTTTTTTGACAAAAAAAAATTTTGACAAAGAGAAACAAAAATCTTTCATGTCAAAGTGAAAACTGATTCCTATGAAATAATGAACATTAGAGAAAAATGTGAAAAAAATACAAGCAAATCAAAATAATTGCATAAATATTCACCCCCTTCAAAGTAACTAAAGTCAGTTGATGCTGGTAGTTTCACAATCAGTGGAGTAGAGGTCACCTGAAAGCGGTGACTTTGTCTTCAGTGATGTTAGTATACTGGACTCAGCAAGGTCTAACAGTGGACTGGTGGTCACATGGTTGTGGGACATTCGGTGAAGCTCCTCTGAAGCTCCTCCCACTGCACCTGCAGGAGGCTCCATCGTCCAATAAGAACTTTTGTTGGTCTGATGATAAGACCAAAATAGAGCTTTTTGGTCATCAGAGGAGACACTAAGTCAAACGCCAAACACTTCACATCACCACAAACACACTACAAGACTGTGAAGCATGGTGGGGGCAGCATCATGCTGTGGGGATGCTTCTCAGCAGAAGGCAGTGATTTCCCAGAGGACAATTTGTTTTGATCTGTAGGAGAACTTTGGCTTCAGATGACATTTATTATCCAGCAAGACAACGAGCCGAAGTGTCTAGCTAAAGCTACACAGACATGGTGTGAGGACAAGAAAGTGACCCAGTCAAAGCCCATGGCTCAGTCTAAGTGAGTGGCTGAACTAAGAAAGAGCTGTTCATAGCTGATCTCCTGAAGAGTGTATCATGAAAAATGGAGGAAATGTCGAGGGGCCTCATGTGTAAAAGAGTCTGTAGTTTTCACACTAAAACTTGGCATATGGACAAATTTTAAAAAGTGCGGCACACAAAAAATGTGCATGTATAAAGTCATACATACGTACATATCCGCACACCTTTCCTTTATAAATTCCAATTTGAAATGGAGCACAGCTGCTGGTCCTTCATTTTGCCATACGTCAATTAGTATAAATACCCAGAAGTCTCCCACCACTGAGGCAATAACCATGGCAATTCATCCTTGATTGTAGCAGTATAGGTATTTATAACAATTATTATGTATTTTATCTAAAAGACGCGTTGAGATGTCACCTCACAAAAATTAAAATACATTTTAAAGGTGAAAAAAATCCAAATTAAAAAAAAAAAAATAAAGAGATGATGCCAATGCCTGTTTGAACAGCAGAGTGTTGAGCTGGGATTTAGACAAAGTGTGTCAGAGTCCTTTGAGTGGGAATGTGGATGTTTATTCTAAATAGGGAGATCATGCATAAGTTGAATATTTGCAGAATAGAGCTGCTTTCTGTCCATAAAGGCGCATTCACAAAGCGGGTATGGCTCGACTGAAGGATGCAAGCTGTTGCACCGGTACCGGTGCTGCTCGGCCCCTTGTTTAGGTTCTGCTCTGAGCTCCAGGATGATAAGTCTGGATTAATCTAAACAACAATAAACCATCATCAACATTTACCAGCAGATCAATATGATCTCTGAACAAACGGTCCCTCTGAATCCCTCCATTGGTGATGTCCTCCATCAGAGCCAAACGCTCCATAATTACGCGGCTCATCTTTGCGCAGATACTTATATACGTGTGATTGTATACACACCTTGATCACCATCAAGCCGAACCTGTTTGGAGTTAATCTGCTAATTAAATCTTGTTTTCTTTTTTAAGTGAGAATGAAATTACCCCATTGCTGCATTTCATGCGCTTTGGCGCACAGAACAGTTATGCACATCTTTATGAGACAAAAACTGAGGAAATGTACTATTTAAATTTGAGTGAGCCCTTCACATCCTTTTACTTTTATTTTCTTTATTTTGTGTGAGTGTCATGTTATTGCTTGAAGATAAATGCAGTTCACTTTCACCGTTTACGTTTAAACAATAAAATATTAAAATAATGAAAAAAACAGTTGAGTTTTTTGCTTCTTGGGCTAAATAACTGAATGCAGTCAGATTTCGGTGTGTTTAGGCGAGTTTTGATGCTTTGTAGTTTCATATTGTCCACAGAAAAGTGGCTGCAGCACATTTTCATTGCTGCTCAAAAGTTTGCATATATTTAAACAAACTTTCACGCCACATTCATTTTTATACATGCAGGCATGTGTGTAAAATATGGCGTGTGCACGCTTTATACATGAGGCCCCAGATGAGCATCCTGACTGAGAGCCACACTGATTGACTGCAGCCAGGGGAGAAGCTACTGAATTCTGACTGAAGGGGGCAGTATTTATCAAATCACTCATCTTATGACACATATTTTTGTCTTTATTTTGTAGAAATCAAGTTTTCAGTTTAACATTAAGAGTTTCTTTGGAATTCTCAACATAATTTGTTTTGTCAAATTATGTTGATCATATTTGAACATGTCTATACTGGCTACGTATCTATAAGCCATGATTTGCTTTTGTGAAAATATGAAAGAAACGGAAAATAAAAAGAAGCTTAAACTCAGGAAGGGTTTGAATATTATCACTAAACTGGAGAGCACCACAAACTGATCAGACATTGTTCACTTTGTGAAGGAAGATATAACTGTAATCAGTTTACACACATCTGGTTTATTATTGTTATTCTACCAGGTGAACGTCAGCTGTGATTTCCACTGTTCCTGTCACGATTGTTACTGAAAACAAAACAAAAAACACATCCCAGTTCCAAACCAGTAGGGTTTCACCTTGCTGAGTGGTTTGGGTTTGTAACATTGCATCTCAGAAACCTGAACAAAGACATCTCAGTCAAGAGCTGGAGGCTGACTTATAGAGAAGAAGAGTCAATAAAATCACAGGGGTGCCATGTCTAAAACACTTGAGTTCGATTCATTCATAGATCTAACATAAGATAAAAAAAAAACAGTAAAAACACTGAAAGTCTACTGGAGTTAATCTGCTGATTAGCACTGGAATCCCATGGTCTCACTGCCTATTACTGATATTACCCATAAGGCATTGCACCTAAGTCTATGTGCTGATCCAAAAAACCCTTAATAAATGAAGCTGGCATCTGTTTGGAGGATAGCTGTAATATAGTAATTTGTGTAGAGTACTTAAAATTTCTCCCTTCACTTCTCTACAAAACACTAAAATACAACAATTTTAAGACAGGACTGTTGGATCAAATGGGTGATGTCAAAGGGAGTTCACTGATTGGAGTTTTCTGGCCAATCATGATCTTTAAAAACTCTGACCTGCTGATTCCATTCTCGGCTGACACCAATTCCTTTAGTCTGAAAAGTAGCTAAATATAGCAACAAAGTCACTAAGTTGGCAACAGTGGGGGACTGTTTTAGAGTAGTTGCCTTTCCGATGCCAGAGTAAAATACAGGAGTTACAGGAACTGCATCTCACTAAACACCATGCATACTTCACAATAACAATGGAAAACTGCTCTGACTGTAGCATCTTTAATTACCTTATAAAGAGAGCTGAGTGAAGGAAATAGTGGCAACATCTTTTGTTTCAGCCAATAATCTCAGTAAGTAACAGACTGCTGCATCCTAAATGCACAGAGGAGTGTTATCACAGCTCCTTCCTCCCAGCTGCTGTTACACTCCAGAACCATCACAGATCCAAACAAACTCAGGAAGTGACACATTTTCTACACTTTTAAACTAACTTACAGTCCAAAGGAGTTTCACATTCCTTTGGACTGGAGTTTGCTAAAGAGTATTTATGTTGAAATGTTGCCCTTACTAAACAATATTTTGCTCATTATTCTGTTTAATGTATTGCGTTTTCCTATTTCTGTGAATCTATTTTCTTTGACTGCCTGACACTTGTGCTGCAGCTGCACAGAAATTTCTGTTTTATTCTGTTCACCTAGAAAAGTAAAGAAAACGTTTGTTGGTTATTATTCTCCTGAAGAAGGTTCTCAATGAGAGGAATCTAAATATGCAGAAATAAGAAGCTCCACAAAAATTAAAAATCAAAATGAGTCAAGAAAAGTGAAACGGTTGCGTCATCACAAAGCATGGCAGGAATCAGTGTGAGCTTTATGCTGGAGCGGCTGTATTAATACTGGGTTCCTGCGGATCTACAGGAGGACGGCAGCATCCTGCATCAGTCCAGTCAGTTGGAGGCTGGCATCAGCTATGTCTTCGTTCAGCTGCTCTACAAGAACATGTCAAAGCAGCCAGCAGGCACAAGGAAGACACACAAAGGAATTAAGAGCCACTCTAATCAGTCACATTTCAGGCAACACCACACACACACACACACACGCACACACACGACTGTAGTGTCTCACTGTGGTGGTATCCTAGAGAAGCATGCCAACATCACTGCATCCATTTTGAGATGTGTTGATCTGTGTTTTAATGTCTTTGTTAAGAGCACTGTAGACCAGGAGGAGGAGGGGAGGGAGAGAAAGGTGGGCTATCGGGAGGGGCGTGGGAGGGGTGTTTAATGAACGGGATCCATTTTTACCAGACTGCATGTCATTAGCACCACCCACTCCCCCCTGTCTACTCTCTGATCAAACAAGGAGGAGATTGGACTGGATCAGGGTGGGGCAAACCAAGGAAGGAGCCTCAGCTGAGACAACAACAGTGGTTGCTACAAATGTGATTATTGATTATTGGTGCATTTATTTGAACAGGATCCTTTCTTCTTGATGTCACCTGGTGAGCTCCTTAATGTGGTTGATATATTCTATTAACCTAGAAGTAAAAAATCAGAAGCATGAATCTTATGAACTCCATTGTTATATTACTAATCATTATTCTAATAATAATGCTCCCACAGGATAATCATGCACCATGATGATATTGAAAACAGGGCCTGGTGAACATATTTCATCCCACAATTTCAAGATAAAACTCATGAGAGTTTTATAAGAACATTCAACTAATCACTTCTTTGTCCATCAGACTACACTGATTTGGGGATTATTTTCAGAGATGTTTCTATCTCTGGTGGAAGGAGGAGTAGTGACTTTACTCATGTCTGTGAATAACTAACTGTTTTGGTTTCAAACAGCTCCCAGCCTGTCAGCCTCCATGTGACTGAAGATGACTTCCAATGGGAAGCTATTTTTTAGTTACTTAGTGAAATGCAGGGAGCAGCCATTTTCAACAGGAAGTCAGGAAGTAGCAGGGAGAATCGCAAATCACCTGATAATATATCCAACAGTTTAGTTCAGGACTTGGACTTGAACAGGTCAGGGATCAGGAAAAAGGCAGCTAACACCTCTGCAGACCCCACACATCCTGAACACAAACAGTTTAGACTTTTAGTTTCGCCCCCCAGGCTCATCTGATGAACACAATGAGCATCTTACAGTCTGAGTCTTAAGCTACACTGTTCTTAAGCAATATAAGTATATTTGTACAACTTGCATTTCTTTTCTTTATATGTTTAAAATCTGCACAAACTGTTTCTTTTATCTTTCCTTTAATATTTATAAATCTACACTGGCATCTGTAACCTGTCAAACCTTGAAATGAAAGTCAAAATCCTTGTTTTGTGCTCACAATTGCCATTGTTCTTGATGCCGGAATGAAAACAGACACCTTAAAATCTAAACTGCCTGAAGAGTATTAAGCGTTGCTTTCATTCCCATATTTACCTAATTTTTTCATATACCAGTCATCGCAGTTGACCAATTCCCTTTTAAAATAAGTAATTTTCTTTTCTGATAAGTTTCATTCCAAAATTAGAAATTGTCAAAAATCATGAACTCAGAACAAACTATGGAGTAGGGTTGAAGAATAAAACAATAGCAATATATACTGTGAAAGACACGCGATTAATATTTATTGATTATGCATTTGATAGAATATTCACGATATGAACTTTTCACTGAACTCTAATCTAGAACTGCACAGCATTCTGGGTGATGTAGGCAGAAGAAAGACTTCAATTGCTCAACCTCCCAGAGCTAGCTAAGCCATGAGGGTGGCATCAACTAACTGACTAACTCTAGCAACAACCTATTGAGTAACTTGCACAGTGCAGACTGAGCCACTGTGCCTCATAACTGTTTAAAAATAAAAACAATGACATAGAATGAAAACTGGGTAAAACATGTCTGGAAGTTTTTTCAGTTACATAAAACAAACAAACAAACAAAACAAAAAACAACTGCTGTATTTTCCGGACTATAAGTCGCTCTGGAGTACAAGTCGCACCAGCCATAAAATGCATAATAAAGAACGAAAAGACATATATAAGTCACATTTTTGAGGAAAATTTATTTGGTAAAATCCAACACCAAGAACAGACATGTCACCTTGAAAGGCAATTTAAAATAAAAATAGAATAGAGTCAACAACAGGCTGAATAGTTGTATGGTATGCTAACGTTGCATGACAAACAATGACCTGCACGTGCCTGGTATGTTAGCATAACATATTAAGAGTTATTCAGATAACTATAGCATAAATGACATGCTAACAAATTTACCAAACTATCCATGCTCTCCAAATCACTAAATCGAATAAAATCTTCATCCTCGATGTCGCTTGTAAACAACTCCGCTAACTCCGAAAGTAGAAGAACAGGCCTAGAGCGCCCTCTTGCGGTTTAGTGTGAAAATGACATGTGATATGATGTAATGATGTGTACATAAGTAGCTCTGGAGTATAAGTAGCACCCCCGGCCAAACTAAGAAGAAAACTGTGACTTATAATCCGGAAATAATTACTGATATCGACTTGTAGGAAATGTGTTTTTCAGCCATACTGTCCAAGCTCTAGTATCCAGTATATTCTCCCAACATTATCTACCCCAATGAAGGATCCCAGACTTCCTCTGACTCCCACCAATCACTGCTGGTGTATTCTGGTCAGCAGCACCTGCAGGCAGTTCATCTTCAGAGCAGAAGAAATGGAACGCCCTGTCTGTTTATAGAACACTCATTCCTTGAGAAACTATATATTCTTTCAAATATAAAAAACACTGTGTTTGTTACATAAAACAAGCCAGATGCACCATTCTGTCCCAATACAGTAAGTTCGTGTGACTGTCTGTATTTCCCCTCTTTATTAAATGATAAGCAGTTGACACATGAATCAGATGAATCCCACGGGCCAGGTGATGGATCCAATGCAAAGAAAGGCGGCCATGTTGCGAGTGGAGGAACATTAGCTTGAGAATGACTGGGCTCCAGCTCGAGTTCTTAATTTAGCCCTGGAGCAGGCCTTGTTACAATTCACAACAGAAAAGCTGAAGAGGCGCTTTGAGGCTTTTGTGTGAAACACAAAGAGGAAGAGGCTCATTAAAGGCAGCCAGCCATATCATGCATACACTCCTGCTGTAGTGGATGAGGCAAGAGCTTGCTACTCACTTGCGTTGCTGTCTGCCAGAGTGTTGAGGTTGCCTGAGATGTCTCTCCTCCTGAACAGACACACCACCTTCGCCTCCACATTCCCATTGGCTGTCTGCAAACACAGAGCGAGTTGTTCAGGTCAGAACTATCAGGAAGAAAAGGTGCGAGTCTCCAAGCTTCTGTTCCCATCTTCAATCATTTTTACAATCCCCGGTTTCCCACCCAGAGAGGGACGCCTGAAATGTTTCCCTCCTGATTTGTGTTTTCCTTATTTTATATGGCAAAATAAATGAATAAGGCTGCCATTAAATACAGCTGTTGTTCATTTTGACCCATGCAGTTTTGGTTCTTATTACTTCCACTTTCTACTTGTAAATCAACCACTTTGTGCTAAAACCACTGCTGTACTTTGCAATTAAGTATTTTGCTGAATAAAATGCTTAAGAATTTTAGTGATGCACAATATATCGGCACTAACAGCAACATTTAGGTATTGTTCTGACAAGTAAAACTGGGCCGTTATCAACAACCAATATTGATTTCCATCTTTTTGTTAATACTGGCCCAAAGTTTCGATTGGTGCATGTCTAAATAATTTAAAACAAATGTACCGATTGGATTCATTTTTGCCGTTCACACTGCCATGAAACAGTCAGCTATGGGTTGCATTTGGACAAAACAAACAACAACAAAAAATCTATTTGGGTTTCCTTTACCTGCTGTGTGAGTGAATGTAGTCAGAGTTGTTTTACAGACCAGCCAGATTACTCATCCTCTGTCCACAGCATTAACAATGAAAAAGGTTTTCTGTTAATTGTTCTTTCTTGAACTGCTCCTGGTTCACCAGCTCAGCTGCTCTGTTTGGTGCCTCGATGTCTGAGACCATCAGCTGCTCTCCAGCAGCCAACAGTCTCCTGAGTTTTCCTCCTCTGAACGATTATCAAGCTGTTTCCACTAACCAAACCAAGCTTCTGTTCAAGAGCATTTGGGCAAACAAGGCTTTTATGCAAAAGACTGACTGATTTGGATGTTTTTTCTAGAAATTAAGTATATAGTAATTTCCCATTCCAGATATTTTGTAAATGTCTGCATTTACAAAACAGTCCTACTTTCATTCACAAGAATGAATTCAAATACAGGTGAGTAAGGCCTGATCTGACAGACAACGGGTTAAAAAGATCCACCCAAATCAACCCTGACATGTTAGCTGGAGCAGGATGAACTATGAAAAGTTAAAATGACTATGAAAAGATATAATATTTCAACTCAGGCCTCAGGATTTACAGCCCAGCAGAACTTACATGTCAGATTACTGAAGACTTCTAATTATTTCTGGTGAATTAGGAAATCTTTTGAAAATAAATGACAATTAAAGTGATAGAGCTGTGTGTCTGTGTGCGTGTGTTTGTAGTAGTGTGTGCAACAGAGAATTCTGAACTCACCACAAATGAGTGAGAACAAAGTCACATCGCTGATGTATGGTAAACCTCAATGATGACAATTTGTTTCATAGTTGTAGTGCACTGCCTGCACATTTCCAACCGATCACCAATATTTAAAAAGCCTGACCTGTTGATTCCAATTATGGCCGATGGCATTTCTTTTTAATCAGAAAAGTTGCTAAATATAGCAACAAAGTCACTAAGTCGGCCATGGTTAACAGTGACCTGGAGGCCGGTCTGTCTATCAGTCTCACTCAAAGCAGAGAAATAGAGGACAGTGGCTGATGTTCAGACTTTTGTGGAGGAAAATAAAATCAGCTTCTCGTGTATCGGTCAATTGTCTGTCACCCTAAATTAAGGAAATGGGGGTTGAATTATTGTTGCACCTTTATTTAACAGAATTCAGAGTTTAACTGAGGAGTTTTTCTTTTACCATGAATAGTTTTTTTACTCTAATATAAAAAAATAAATCTTTTCGCTGACAAGTATTTCAATACAATGACTATGATACAATGTTTTCACGTCACATTACATTCCAATAAACAAAAAATCTTGTACAAAAATCTAAATAACTAATATTATGTTAGTAAAGGTTTGGTGAAAAATGTCTTCAAATGCAAACAGCGCTTTATACGCAACAGCAGAATTCAGGTACACTAGTACAATTCATTCTGAAAAACTGATCTACAGCCTTTAACCCAGATCTCTGAATTCAGTAGCTTTTAGCTCTCATGGTGAAATCCACAAGTGCTTTAGAGCAAGTGGCTTACATAAATGAGCTTAATCCTGTGACAGGGAATCTGCCCTGTGTCATATGCTGCTGTTGTTATGGCAGTAGGATCTGAAGCAGTGTCCTGTCATTGGAGCAGCCATAATTTACCACCGTTTGCAAGGTTTCAACGGGCCGCTGCACAGAACAGGTTCAGGTTTAGCTGCTGGTGAGAGTTGAACACGTTAAAAAGCACAAACATCAACTACCAACCTTGTTGAGCTCTTCTATTCTCCGGATCAGGTATGGGTTGCTGGAGGAGTTCTCAAAGTAAACGTAGTCTGAAACAACAGAAAGAAGAAAAAAATAAATAAAAAAAATTAGCGCATGACCCCGCCTCAAATTTTTTCAAACAACACAGTCACTGCATAACCCGAGATGCTCATATGCGCAGATGACCAGGGGGAATTTGATGTCCAACTCTTCGAGGAGGTGGTGGCCTCCCTTGACCCCAGCTCAATGAGAAAATAGTGAGGCTCTTTTTTACTGATGACACCAGCAGGCATCAGACTGAGGCTACTTTTTCTGTAAAACCATATTGTTCATCGATAAAAGTATTCTTTTTATTTTCCAGTGACTGGACAGATGATTCATTGTGTGCGGATTATGTTTGCTATGAACCCAAAGAACAACAGCAGGAGAAGGAGTGACTGAGAGACTCAAAGTGATCTGCTGGGTTTGTTTAAATACCTCTGAATAATTAATTGAGCTTACTGTACTGTTTGATGACGTGTAAAAGAATAATCTTTATTGGATGTCACTATGGCAGTTTTCTGGCTGATCATCGATCTTTAATGTCTGACCTGCTGATTTTGGCCCATATCAATGTTTTGCCTGAGAGTTGCTAAGTCGGTAGCAGTAGGTGACTGCTGTTGACCCTGCTGGTGCAGATGTGCATCACAAAGAGAAAGGGGTTCTGTTCTGTTAACTTGAACCGTTCCAGACTTTGAGCCATAGAGGTCTGCTGTCTAGGTCACATCTGTTTTTCCATGCATAAAGATGAAGACGAAAACAATTCAGGATGGATTGATCTCAAAACGTGATCTATGGTGAACGCATAGGCACATGCACCAGGAGACACGCTGCATCAAGTCAAAGTTTATTTGTGCAGTACATTTCAGCAACGAGGCAGTTCAAAGTGTTTTACACTGGAAAAACATGATTCAGTAAAATTGAAATAAGCAGCAGACATTACATTTTGTTCATATGTGGACTATGTACATCTAAAATACATGAATATTCTGACAGATGACCAGGATTCAATTGAATTTTGCTTCAGATTGTAACTGAATATGTGTTCTTTAGAGCATAAGGTCATAATCCTTATATGAGATCCGGTTCATCTCCACTCTCCCATGAAAACTGACATATTCATATATGCATTTGGAATGAACATGCTGTCAAAGACTCATCAGTTCAATCAGAGCTATTTTTACTATGGCATCTGTTAACTAGCAGAAATGTTCGTTAACAGATGAGCAGGCTGTGCCTGTTGTGCACTCTTCATTTACTTGTTTCTGCTGCAGGAGAAGCACACATAGCTAACCTCGGTTGCTCAGCCACACTGCAGTCTTCTGTGTTTGATTCCTGAGATTTAGGAATGAACAGTTCCTGAAAACAGTTCACATCACAGGAACAATGCAAAAAAGTGATGCAGGGTAACTAGCAGTAACGATGAAGTCCTGAGTTTAAACATTGGGTGTTTAAACTCTACATGTGCTTATCAGCTGTCTGACGATGCCAGAGAAATGTCTGCTGAGCTTGCAGTGACGAATTAAAACACGGATGTGTTTTAATTAACGCCATCAAACACATCAGCGTTACACACACACAGAAAAGCTACCTGATAAAGGATAATCCTCAGAGTTATTTGTGTTGACATTAAGCAGCTGCTTCTTGTGACTTTTCCTTTAGGTATGATCTTGACATGAAGCCTTCAACATCCTGATGAATGAATTTTTGTCTTTGTGTGAAGTTACATGCTTCAGTTCAACCTGAATTCTCCCCACTCTGGGACAATAAAGCATATTTATATTCTAATATTTAACATCCACATCACAAATCTCTCTCTTCCTAATATGGTGACGTGCCAGCAGCAGTGGTTTGTGTCTAAACCTAAAGCCCAGCGCAGCTTATTGCACTTTGGGGACAGACACAAAATGAAGAACAAAATGCTGCGTGCAGGTGCATAAGTTGACAAAACAAGTACTGTTCTTTAAGAAAAAAAAATGGCTTGGGGAATAAAATAAATGCAGACAGGCTGAGATATTAGAGGATGCTTAGAGCAGCCGGAGGACGCCTGCAGCTCGGTTCCATTTGGTGAGCTCACAAGTAGGCAGAGAGCCTCAAGAGGATATGGCTGCTTTCTGATGCATCACCACAAGCAGAGGTGGAAAAGGAAGAACTCTGAAAGAGAGAGGATTTCTTGCTCTATTTAACAGCAATGTAAAGACTGAATAGGGAAGCATCACATTGCTGTACACAGTGAAAGAACATGGCATCCTCCTGTTACGTAACAGTGGGTAAGAGTGAACAGGAGGACGTGCACTTTCATGTGCCTAACATGACTAATTGTAGCTGTTCAGACAGTGATGCTGGATGTTTCTCCATGGTTTGTTTCCTCTGACAGAAGAACTGCGATCCAGGGAAAAACCACAGGTCTCAGTTTTCTGGATAGTTCTGGTCTACATGTATGCACATCTGAGAATCAGGCATTATTATTATTATTATTGAACACATAAAATGAACACATAAAAAAGAGAGGATGCCACTGAGTACTTGTATTTTTCTCTCCTTCCACAAACGTCTGAACATCAGCCACTGCCCCCTTCTGGTCTGATGTGAGACAGGTTTGACTGACAGACCCTTCTGCCCCGGGAGGTCATGTGTGTGCTTAACAACAGTCACCTCACTGTTGCCAACTTAGCAACTTTGTTGCTATGTTTAGCAACTTTTCTGACAAAAATAAAATTGGAATCGACCAAAATTGGAACAAAGCAAATTTATAATGAACTCCCTTCAATCCTGTCCAATATAGCATTTTAACACAATAAATCTAAATTCTTACAACGATAGAAAGAATTTTATGAACAGAGTTCTACTGCAACTGTCATGACGACACCAGTATCTGATTTTCAGTGAAGGCCTCAGAAGTTTGTTGGCGAGCATTACTTATCACCCTGAATCCACCATCTCCACAGAGAAACATGGTGGTGGCAGAGTTATGCTGTGGGAATGCGTTCAATCAGCGGAACAGAGGAGGTGTTAAAGAGTCGATGGGAAGATAAATGGAGCTACAGAAAGGGCAACTCCCGAGGAGGAATTGTTAGGCCCCTTCCAGCAGCCGTCCCTGCAGCTTCAGGCAGGATGGGAGAGCATTCGTGTTTTAGAATGTGACCCCATTCTAAAACAGTGAAGCATACTAAATTGCAGCACAATTGGAAAAAAATGCTGGTAAATGTTGCCATGACTTGCGTCTGCTGCTTTGGTAATGAGATGATTGTGCTGCAGTTTCTTAATGGCCTTAAAAACGACTCCAACGTGCTCCGAAAATATTTTTTGCTGCACTGAACAAGCTACCCCAGCTTTCTAACAGACATAGTTGGCCTGAACATACGGTACTTCTGTAATTAGAAAATATTTATTACAATCCGGTCCGAGCAGGTCTTTGCAGTAGTGCTAATGTGCTAAGGACAAATTAGCAATGCAATGTGAATGCCTACATTAACCTGATTAAGAGACTGAAAAAGATTTTTTACTGTTTCTCTTCATCCAGTCTGCTGGAGTTTTAGCTGCTTCACAATAAGAAATCAACAGAAATTTTAGACATGGTGTTGGCAGTCTACAGTTTAGACTCTAGACTGTCTATGCAGAGTCTACAGCTGCAACAGTTACAGTTGTGGTAACTGCTGCTTTTCTACAAAGTAATGAATCGGAGGGTTGTATGCTAATTTATGTCACGCTTTTACTCAGATTTATGTTTTCTGCAATGCCAAAGAGAAGACAGTAAGCAGCTTACAGTCAGACTTGCTGTTTTATCCCTTTTTTTAAAGGAGTAAGAATTTTTAATCTTATGTGACATGTTAGTCGTAAATTTCTGATGATTATCAGGAATTTAAAAATGTTGATTTAAAGGAGGCAAAGACACTCCTAGAAACACAGTTTGCACCTAAAGACTCGTGGAAAGAAAGAATTGCCTTGTATTATATGCAACAGCTACAGGAAGAGCAAATTTCCAAACCGCAAACTCTAAAGGGCAAAGCTGCATGTCACTACCTGTCCTAGGAAAACTGCTCTGCTGATACCAGAACATCCGAAGTTCTGGTATCAGCAGAACTTTGGCAGTTCAAGTTGAATTCGGGTCACAATGCGATCTGTTGGTCATTGGAGGAGAGACTGGTGTTTCTTCAAGTAAACTGAAACAGATTTAAACCCTTTCATATGAATTTTTTTTAACCTAAATGAATGTTAAGATTCACATCTTGTCAATGCTCTGAATTTCTACTAATTAATACTGAACAAGTATTTATACAGTCTCTATTTGTTTGAGAGTTATCACCTCGTTGTCATTGCATTTAACTTTTCTGAACAGCAACAACACCAAACGAAACAGAACCTGGAAACAGAATCTATTTTGTACTGTGAACACGACCTTTAATTCTTCTATCAACCTGGGTTTTGTACAATCATATATATACATGTATATATAAGTAATGAACAATCGATTGGAACGATCCCCGTCTATGCACCATATTGTGCAGACCAGTGTTTAATCAGCATGACCTAAATACCCTGCAGACCCTTGTGAGTGCTCACACACAGCTAAGCCTGCCACACTATCCATAAAACATGTCTGTCTCTGCGACAACACTCTCTTTCAAACGTCGTAACAAGATATTGCGAGAAATAAGCGCCAGCGACAAAGCAACTGCATGAGCAATAAAAAGTATGCTTCTCCAAACAGTACTGTTAAAAGCTAGGCGGATAAAAAAGGATGCTAGCCAAATGACAGCTGTAAGTTTGTGTCCCTTCTCAGTGCTCATATTTACTCCCCAGTACTGACGAGGAAGCCTTCAGAAGTACCAAACATGACTTGGTATGTACAGCATTTCTGCTCACATACGCCTTTCATTCAGTGGGATTTTACACACGCCATTATTCTAATGAGAAAGTTTCCCAACACGGAAATTGGGCCATGTATTCGCGTATTTTGCAAGTATATAATGTACACAATATAACATAACTCCGATGATTCAACTGACCAAATTCTATTATTAAAGTTATCTGAGTTTTAAACTATTCTGCTTCAAGCCATTTTTAAAAATATCGTTCAGTCTGTACCATCAGGTGGCTTTAAGCTAACTAATTTTAGCATTCACGGTTAACTTTGCTAGCGTAACAAATGAAGCGGTATGGCGAAGCCAAGCTAGCTGCTACAGACCCCGCGAGGTTCTGGCTTTTTAGCGGCTAATGCTAATAGCATGGAATTTCCATTTTCACTCTCCGACATTAGCGCCAATTTAAAAATTATTCCGCGAATGTCCACCTACATGAGCAATAAGCTTCCCGAGGTGTCATATCTGAGTCCGTAATTAGTTTTTTCCCCCCAAACTCTTCAGAGAACAGTTCACGGAACCCGACAACAATCCGCGGTGGGATATTTGTTGAGACAACTATATAGCCGAGATCTCGCATTAATGTTTGTAAAAGTTGCACGTTTCATCTATGGTGTGACATTAAGCAACAGTATTAGATGTATTGATTAAAAAGGTTAATATATTTATTTGCAAAATCCCATTACAATCGTATGTTTCAAACCAAACTTGAAGCACGCACGAAGGCTAAGTGGCATTGAAGTTGGCATCTGATCCGAGTTTCAGACCCAGGGCTGTTGCGCGGATTTTAGGGATTCTGGAATATTTCTAATGACAAATAATCAATTTAAGAGCTGTGCTGGATTACTCTAGTCTGCCTGCACATTATTTTACACACAGTATTTGATTAGAAAAAATTCCCTTGTTATTGTTTAAGGTGGAAAATACCAATTTTATAGCTATTTTGGGATAAATTCATAGTTGCATCCTGTATGCAATCAGTTCATTTTTAGTCAAGTCAAATCTGTAGTAAATTATTCTACGCTGTTTACAGACACTTTCATACAGTTTCTAAGAACCTCGTTCTCTTGATGACAACATATATTCAATGTTTTATTTTGCATTGGAAATTACATTTAATATTAAACCCATCTGAAAACTCTTAATGTTTCAGACTGGACAGAATTAATCTACTCTTTATTCTTTAAAACGTTCAAAACACAAAGATTTTAGGATTTAAAGTTTAAAGTACCTGATCTATTGCCAAAATACAATCAACACCATTAAGTCAATGAGTCGAAATATCATGTTATTTATTAAAGCAATCCATTCGACCTGCCCAAGAACTGTACCTTTCAAACTCAATTATTTATTTTCATGTATGTTTACGAAAAAATGTCTTTAAAGAACCTTTAGACAGTGCCAAATAAGACAGTTTACGTTGGGCCTGTCGGATTTAGAATTAGACCTGATCTAATTTAGTCCTGTTCTCTAAAAGAGCATAACAGATTTTTACTCAAGCGTCCAATCGGTGTATACGAATCTGAAGCTAACTTCAGCATCATCCAAAGCTAGGCTACGGCTAGCTTGATTTAGCAGCTAACCGAATAGACAGCTAGCGGCTAGCCGCCTGGGTGTCGAAAACGAACAATCACATCGTGTGCGTGCGTGTATGTGTGTGTGAGTGTGTGTGTGTGAGGCGAGAGGGGGGTCTCAAATATATAAACCATTCCTTACCTCCCACTCGGTACATATTGGCCGCCATCCTCTTGCAACCTGTATTAAAATCAATTCCAGGGTATTCCCCGCTTTGGTAAAAAATATCGACGGCTTCTCTTTTATTCCTTCATTTATCTTAGACACCCCCGCCGCGAAACAAAGCCGGCTCCGGGCTCAAGCCGAGCTGTGGCGGGTAAAAAAAAAAAGTTAAAAGTTTTCTTTAGTAAAGCTCCGGAGATAGACCCCAAAAAACAGAAGTATCCTCTTGTCTTCGGCCCCTCAGACGACCTTCTCCTCTTCTTCCCTCACTCATTCACACGCAGCTAGCCTGTCTCTTACTCCACTCTTCCTCCCATCCTCCGCTCCAAGCTTCATCCTCCTCTTCTTCACCTCCGCTCAGTTCAGCACACACACACACACGCACACACACTCGCACACGGAACACTCACTCACAGGTCCCCCTCCGACAGTGCGCGAATCGTCATCTTCGGCTATTGTCGACAATCTCCGGCAGAACCCACAACTTTTTTTTCACTGGGTCCTGGTTAGTTAAGAACCTGACTTTTGGCAGGAATGAGTAAGAAGCAGGGCATTTCGTGCAAAAATATTTGAAAAATATAATGCTTATTAAGACTTGATGAATTATTTTTGTAATGAGCCTTCTAAAAAAGTATAAGAGAAGAGTGTAGATAACAAAACCCAGTTCATGTAACATAATTTGTTGGACTGCAATTTATTTCCCACAGTGAACCTAAAAGATTTGTGAGTTGCATTGCTTTATCTTTAAACACAGGTACACTAAAAACTTCTGATAAATTTAGTGTTGTATTGCAATACAAAGCTTTAAACAAACGTAAAAGATATAGCAAAACCTTAAGCTGTATGTGTTTTCATTCTACATCCTAAAATAAATATTTCTGAGTCTTTAGGAATAGATAGCACAAAAATTCCTTCAATCAAGATGAACTTTCTATTAGTTTTGTTTAGACATCAACTCGAAATCCGCCATATAACATTTTAGCCAGAGCTGATGTCACATTTTAACATCTTTTATAACTTATACTTTGTGTTTTCAAGAAAAACTGCTAGTTGTAACACACCACTTTCAGTACGTATAGATACTCTTACACATTTCAATCAGAGATGGTGATGAACCCTTTTAACAAATGAAACATCTGTTTTACATCTGTTTGGCTGTTACAAAAAAATCTGCATGTCTACAATTACAAGTCAAAAAATTTCAGCCACATCAGAAGTTCAATATTAAAAATCAAACCCTGGTAGTAAATGTATTGTTTGTATTTCCCACTATGTCCATACAGAATAATATTAATACAAAAATTTTCTCAACCAACTTTCAGTTTTCACTGAGATTCTCTACAAAGCTCAGTTTCGTTTTAAAGGTACATCCCACATTAAGAAGGTCAACACTGCCCCCTAATGACAACTAAATAACACAACTTTCAGTTTTTATTGTTTGTATTAATAATCAATACAAAAAAGAGAAACATTTACCACAAATAATAATTTTCAAGTAAACTGATCTAAGGTCACAGAAATGAATGAATTAGTAAGATAAGCAGGGTTCGCGTTGACAGGAGTTGTTCTCCATCTTGTTTCGTAAATGCACAGAAACAGCCAACACTGGTCACTTCTGTTTAAAGTACAAAAATATAGAAGAGCATTTCTATAGGCACTGTGGCATACTGCATGTTATAATGCAACACAAAACTCAACACGACTTAAACAGGCATGTTCACAGAAACTATAAGGTAATAACAGTCACATTATGCACCACTCAACACACATGCTAACTTTCCTCACCACTTACACATCAGAATGCAAAAGATTCTGTCACATGTATCAGTTTCAGATGGATTTACAAAGTTATGGTGGGGGGTTAAAATGGACATTGTCCCCTGAAGAGAATCCCTCTGTGCTCATGAGACTGACGGCAGTGGTGCAGCAGAGGCTAAATGAAACTGATCACTGATTAGCCTCAGTGGCTGTGAGCAGACAGCTTCCCTCCCTTCACTGGCAGCACCAGCAGCTCCGTCTAGCTGGCTGGAGGCTCCGGAGAGCTGGTGGAGGTGGAGGAGGCAGAGGCCAGTGTCTCCCTGCTTTCTCCCACCCCACCTCCAGTCATCTTCCACTGCAGGATGCAGGTATCCTTCCCGCCAATGGAGAGAAGGTGGGAGTCATTGTGGGTGAAGCAGACGTTGGTTACGTGACTCCCGTGGCCCTCGTACTTGTGACTTGGTGCCTGGGGAGGGGATAGGACATTGAAGAGAGGTTGCAAAGGAAGCCCTAATTAATCCCTCGTTTTCCTCAATGGAGGATGCACTTTTTGAAATCCTGTCATCGCATGGTGACAATGCCGAATAAGATTATACTCATGTACTACTGATTGTTTCTAGTTTCAAGTTTATTTTTTTATGTACATTTCAGAATTTCTGCCAGAAACAACTATTAGTTCTTGAGGCCTGTTCTAAAACCTGTGAAGACCACCAATGGATGGTGGCAAATATTTTCAGTTTGTGTTCTTTTGATTATGGGTTTTATTTCATTTCACACTATTATTGCCTTGTTTGTATTTAATTGTACATCTGTGGGTTTTTTTTATTTGTGAAAGGTGGAAAAAATTAAAGTTTTCTTACTTAAACAGAATTACTAAATGTGACTGACTGATTAGACCTGCAGTCAAACTGAAAAGTCTTTCGATGTAGAGTAACTGTGAAATGAAGGATGACTGTGCCAGCAGTACCTTAGGCTTAGGGCAGGGGTACTGGAAGAGGTGGACCTTGCAGAAGTCATCGGCCACGGCCACCACCCTCTCATTGTGGGAGCGACACAGGGCGTTGATGTCTGTTCCGTCTGAGCCCTCCAACCACACACCTGCAAACCACAGAAACACTGGCATCAGCCTGGCTCCTCATCCCAACGCCACAACGTTTACTTGCAGAGTGTGCGTTTGATGCGTCTCACCTATGACATGGAAACCCAGCACACAAGTGAAAGAGGCCCATTCTCTGTCTTTGCTCTCAAAGCGGTTCCTCAACAGCTTGCATCCTCCTGCAATGTCCCCTATGAAAACATATTGAGAGAAGTTAAATAGGGTCCATAGAAAAGATGCACTCCAAGTGGTTCAAGCCTTTCCACCTTCTGGTCTACAGTTACTTTAGCTGATCACTTTTACACACTTTTTCCGGGTGTAACAATGGAAACATTTTTTTCAGTTTATAACATCAGTAGCTGCACAATTCTGGATGTGTACTTACAGTAGAGTATCTCATAGTCGCCTGAATTTGACACAATGTAACAGCCGTCTTTGGACCAGTCAAGGTGAGTTATGAAGCTGGAGTGTCCCTAGTAAAAAGACAGTTATGATTAGCGATAATTTTTTTCTTCAGTTTACCTTTTTTTTTAAAATAAAAAATGTCATTATAAACATTAATATAGGACTGTGGTATGGATTTATCTCAGTATATCTGTTCTGACATTTTGACTTAGTCCCTCCAAACTTCTGGTCTGGTGAAAAGAGCTCAGAAAATTCTGCAATTTTACGTCTGATGAGAGGAGCAAACCTCCTCCTTCCCATCCTCATCCCTTCCTACAGAGGGACAGTAGAGAGCAAACTGACCAGCAGCATCCCAGTCTGGTTTGAGGCATGCAACACCTCTGACTGGCAACGTATATAGAGAGTGGCGAGAACAGGAGAGAGAATCATCAGGACTGAGCTTCCTTCCATCCTTGAGACTGCTTCCAGTGGCTGCCTGACCAGGGCTCGGCCAGTTTTCAAAGATCTCTCCCATCCTTACCATAGTCTGTTCTCCCTGCTGCCCTCTGATCTAAGGATGTTGGCTGTTCAGTGTGCCGCATATTAATGGAAAGTAAAGTATAAGGAAAAGTGTCTCAGAAAAAGGTGAATAAATGCTCACTTGAAAAGATTGTACAGTTAATTCTATTCAAATGTTTGTGTGAGATGCCCAAAGCGTGGAGCACAGCTGCAATAAGAGCTGCAAAGGCACAGGAATCCAGGACATGGGCAGCAGCTGTCACATTCATTACGGTAGCCACTCCTAAAGCATCTTATCTGGGCTCAGGATCACAAGAACTGGGATATTGCTCAGGTGTCTAAAGTCTTCTCAGATGAAATTGAAAATTGCATTTCATTTGGAAATGCCGGTGTCTGGGGGAAGACTGGATAGGAACAGAATCCATGTTGCTTGAAATCCAGTGTGAAGTTTCTACAGTCAGTGAAGGTTTGGAACTTTATGTCATCTGCTGCTTTTGGTATGTTGGGTTTTATCAAGTCAAGAGTAAGTGCAGCCTTCCACCAGCAATCTATGCCACCCTCTGCTGACAAGGTTCACAGAGAAGTTTGTATTTTCCGGTAGAATTTGGCAACAGCCCAACCCTGCTAAAAGTACCGCTTTAATCACCATGGTACCACCAGTAAACTGGCCTGATCTAATATAGAACCTATGGGTTGTTGTCAAGAAGAAATGAGACACCAGAACCGACAGCAGGAGCAGCAGATTGGTGAAGGCTGCTTCTGAGGTCATCTGAGCTTGTTGCACACGTCAACAGAACCACAGGCTGATTAATGCAGTAATTCACCCAAAACAACCCGATTCCTGATAACCCTAACTCTATAAAATACCCCTACCACTAATATGCTGTACAACAGTCCCACATGTTTTTCAGCAGTCCCACATTTCAGTATTCGAAAATATTATTTTCAATGGTCTTTGTAAATATTACAGAGCAAATGTTCAAATTCTATACCAAATAATCTTTGGTTTTATTAGCTATAAGCCACATTCATCAAAATTAACAAATGATTAAAATGTATCACTTTGTCAGTAAGGAATCAACGCTATACATGTGTTTCACATACTAATCAAATTTAAGAAAGAACTTAAATGAAAACAATAGGCCTCGCAGCGCTTTGCTGCTCGGGTCTAATAAAAGTCTGACTTCTTCCTGCTTATTATGATACATATGCATGAATGTAACTCACATTACACCTTCCGAAGCGATTGTAGCGGCGGCCACTTTCTGTCACGCTGTAGATGTAGATAAAGTTGTCGTGAGAGCCGACAGCTAAAAAGCGTCCGTCTGAAGACACAAGAAGCCATTACTTCAGTTAACTGTTTTTCATCTTATTCCTTCTTCAATCATGTACAGAGAAGAAAATGAAAAAACAAAAAAAAACCCACAAACTTCACTAAATGTGCTTATATTCTACACTTTTTCCTTCCCAAATGCGATTTTTTTTTTTGGTTTTCTATTTTTTAAAAATAAATTTTCCAAAATCATACAGAAAATCATATAAATGTAATTTTGTGTAGAATTTTGAGGAAAGAGATTAATTTGGTACAATTTTTAATAAGACTGTGGAAAAAATAAAGAGCTGTGAATATTTTCCAGATACACAGAAAGTTCTGAAACATTGTGATATGTGTTCCATTCTTTAAAAAACAAAGCAAAACGTGCAAATTCTGCACATGGCATACCTGGTGAATATCTCATGACTGACAGCTGTTCATTCCCATCTATGGATTCAGAAATCACCTCCTTGGTCACCAAGTCGAGGACCACCCACCTGTCGGAGTTACAGGGAGGAGCAGACGGTCAGGGAGCTGACAGGTCAAATATGCATATGCTTTATGCTTACTAATCCAAGGTGAAGCTCTTTTTGTTACATTGTACTGCAACACACACCACATTTCTTGACAGCTTGAGAAAGATGTGTATCATTGTGGCATAATTATGTACATGTATTTGTGCCTTTAAGTAAAACTAAATGAATGATAAATATAGTTTATAATTCGTACATTCCTCCTGTAGACAAGTGCCTGAGGCTGCAGTCCTGCAGGGTGTCACTCTTTTGTTAAATAAATTACACTGCCTGGCCAAAAGAAAGTTGGCAAATGGATTTAACTAAGCAAATAGGTACAAGTCTCCCATAGGATAATTGCTGCATGTTTCATCTGGCAGCAAGTTATTTAACCCCAACTGGTGCAATGAGTCGCTTCTCATTTTTGGTCGTGGAAAAGATGTCTGTCTGTTTGAAAAGGGTCAAATCATTGGCATGCATCAAGCAGAGAAAATATCTAAGGAATTTTCAGAAAATACTACAATCGGGTTGAGAACTGCCCAATGCATTATTAAAAACTGGACCCATAATATTTGAGGAAGAGGAAAAAAATCCTTAATGATTGTGATCGTTCCCTCCGGGTCGGGAATCAAACCGCAGACAGCTGAGCTTAGGACTAATAGCCTCTGTAGAGCGGCTGCTCTACTACTAACTCTGCACTCTTGAAGCTATTTTAGATCATTTTAATGTGAGCAGCAGAGCTTCATATCATTGTGGCATAATTATTGACATGTATTTGTGTTGCATTACCTTCCTGTGCTGAGGCCAACAGACACAACCGATCCACTGGGGCAGAAATCAGCACACAACCCATACTCCTGTCAGAGACAAACACATCCATTTAATCTTTGTTGGATAAATGCGGTTTGACTGCAAAAGCAAAATTGGGACATTTTTCAGACTTCAGTAAAACCTTCAGTCTGTATATCTGAGCCTTATTTACACAAAGCTATATTTGATTATATTTCTGTAAGGATCTCATCTCAGGACGCTTTATTAGCTTTAAAAGAATAACTCACTAAGAAGAGTCCAATTTTCAATGTGTTTTTGCTCTGGCACAAACTGATCAGCTAACTTCCTTCCAATAGAGTCCTAATCTATAATCAGTAGAGGTGACAGTGTTGAAGAGTCCAGCTGAAATCCCTTCATCAATCCAGTCAGCACTTTGTTTGCTATAAAACAAACATATATGCTTCTAAAACTGTTTGAGCAACTTCTGCAACAAAGATTGTAACCAAATCAGCTTTTGTAGTGCCTCACATAGACCCTAGCATTCTATTAATTAATTGAGCTACTGATTATTTGTCCATACGGGGGCGCTCACAGACTGTGCATAGAGAATTGAATTGTGAGAAAAAGTGAACAAATTTAGCATAAAGTAAATAGCTCCAAATGAACTAATTCAATCTAAACATGCAGACCAATTTCAATTCAATTACATGCATTCCAGTTTAACCGATATTCCAGAAAATCTGCAGATTAATAAAATGCTATTAAAAAAATCCTTTGTTTTGCATGAGTTTAAAAAACAGAGCTAAAGTCTAGAAGAAGAAGTGATTCTTACCTCGAGGGTGATACACCAGTCCAGGTTGTGTTCCTCTGTGTTCCACAAACACACCTGCCTGTCATGGCTACAGGTGAGGAAAATGTTCTGAGAGGGATGAGTAGCGAGACCCCACATCTCATCTAAATGACCCTGAGAGAGAGAGAGACAGAGAGAGAGAGAGAGAGAGAGAGAGAGAAGAAAGGCTGAAAATCAAAAAGTCTTCCCTCCTGCTGCAGTAACAGCTGATCTGAACTGCTTGGTCCATTTACCTCAAGTATGCAAACAGAGCAAAAGAAAAAGTCATATCATGAACATACCTGAACTATGGCAACAAACCCATCAGAGAAAGATCCTCTGAGGATTGCATTTCGGGTTGTACCAACCAAAAGTCCCTCATCATCCACAACTGCAACGGTGCGGACAGCCCCAAATTTTTCTGGAATCTGGACATAACCTCCCAGTTAGTTCCAATATTCCAGGCATTTCCCTCCCATGAGGAGGAAGCTTCACACTCCAGATGCAACACAGACACACGCAGCTGCAGATCACCTCACACTCTCTCTCTGGAGCCAGGTCGGCGCTCCAGCGGATGATCTTGCGGTCCTTTCCCCCTCCACTGAGCAGAGCTCCACACTTCAGGGTGCACAGGGTAAACACACTGCCTTCGTGTGCTTTGATTGGTCGCACAATCTGATAGGTTTCTGTTTGGAAAGCAAAGTGAGACAGGAAAAGGTCGGGTCAAAGTTATATGGATTATTTTATACAGTTAATATTGTGCTATAACTTTATATTACATAATACATATAAAGAATAAAATTTGTAACGTAATGTCACCGTGACTTTAGGATTCTGATATCAAACAAAATTTGCTAAGGTTCTCTTGTATTTTTTATTTTTCAAGATAAGCAGACAGGGTTTTATAGCCAGAACCTTCCTGTTACCATGTTAACACACTGACCTTTGGCCCCTTTACCAAGTGTTTTGGTATCTGCAGCAGACTTCGCCCATGGCAGGATGTTGCCTTCAGAGTCTCCGGTCAGAACATCTCCAGTTAGGCTGAACACAAAGCAGTGGATGAACTTGGGCTTCTTGTATTTCTGTAAATAAGAAAAAGAAAACTTTTAAAAGCAACAATTTGACTGAGAGTTGATTTTATTTTAAATTATTTTAATTTGCCAAAGACAATGATAATGAGAGATTTTTGTTTTATTTCTCCACTCAAAGTCAGAAGTTTCCTATGCCTCATCTTCAGAAAGCCCAAAAGATGATGTCATGACTTTGCAGGCTTCTGATAGGTTACTGCATAGCATTTCAGCTAAATAAAGCTACACCTGTGGCCAGAGTTCAAACTAACTGTCTACTTGTGTGGCATTGTGACAAAATGAAACCAAATGGGCCAGTACTGTGGTCTTCCATGAGTCTGCTTCTCCCAGATGTCTGCATACTTTCATCTCTTGGAGATATGTCCTGTGGTGTGATGACACCAAAGGTCACGACCATATAGGTCCATCATTACGCTTGGAGAAACAGCAGGAAGCTCAGTTGTAAAGTTCTGCTGAAGGAAGGACTGGTGCACTTCGTAAAACAGATGGCTTTATGTGTAAATAGTATTGCTGTCAATCGATTGGAAGTTTTTTTTTAATAATAATTGATCACACGCTAGCTCTGTGATTAATCTCAATATCTAGCTCAAAATCTCAATATCTAGCTTATTACGTGCTAGTAGCAGTAACATATGCTACACGTGTATCATAATTTTCTATACAGGCCTGAGGTTTTGTATTATTGTCCTTGTTGATGAAATGAATCTGTTCAAAATGGTCCTGATGTGTCATACATCCTCTTTTAGACATGAATAATGTTTGCCTTTAATTTTCAGTTCTCTTTACAGGGGCTTCCTGCTTCCCCATTCATGCTCAAACTGAGAAAGCTGCAAACAAGATGGAGGCTCTCGCTCATCACCAACCACTAACACAGAAAACCCGTCAGGCCCACGTGACCGGAGACAAGTGGAAATCTGAGCCTTACTCCGAAGATGCCTTGTTTCTTGGTGAACTGCCCTGCACTGAGTGTCCAGAAGTAGACGTGGGATTTCCCACAGGTGATGATGACGTTACTGTCACTGGGGTTGAAGTCCACAGCAAACACAGCCTCATTGGTCGTCTGCACACAGGAGCACAGGCAGGTTCAGCTCAACTACAGTGCAGGAACACTGAGGGTCAATGAAGTCTTCACAGAGTGAAATGCAGCAAAAACAAACATCAAGCATACAGGTTTGGTAATGGGATCTGTACTAATGTAAATGTGGAGTTTCCTAAACTTTGGTCAGATCAAAGTAAAACTCTGCCACTGCTGAATGAAAGCCAAGACCCCCCCACACCCAAAAAAGCCCCCAAACATGTTTAGAGTTCACCACTGGTGAAAAAGTGAAGTTGGAAAAGTCTAAAACAGGCAGAAAAATTGGCCGTAATGACCACTGACGTCAAACACAGAATTAGTGTAGAGGGGGTTCTTGTCAGACGAGGTCAAATCAGAACGTTTTGACCAGTGGGGAAACCCCTACGAGTGATGGAAATCCAGTACATCATGTTGATAAGACTAACCCACTATGAAACATGGTGGTGGCAGTTTTCTACTCCCTTTTAATTTCCTATAAAAGGGAGTAGAAAATTGATCAGGTTTGCTTGTAACACAGCAAGAAGTACAGCAATGCCTTGCAGTATAGTATATTAATGTGTCAGAATGGCCTATTCAAAGCTCAAACTTCTATAATATTGAGAATTTGTAGTAGGATGTTCTCTATCTAGCCTGATGAAATTATTTTGCAGAACAGTGGGCAGTCTGGAGATATGCACAGCTGCTAGAGTCGGAACAGACCTGCAGATGTAACTAATTATATGTGACAATGTGAGCGACTTCAAGGGTCTGATTAATTTTGAGAAGAACAGTTAAGGATGTAATTTCTCCACTCCGTTTATAAAGAACAGAACAGTAAAGATTGCAGTAAAGTGCCTCACAAAAAGCCTCCTTCATGAATGTGGTGAAGAAATGAGAGCGGGCGGTCGGACGTTTGCTGTTTCTCTGTGCTGCGACTCAAACGACGGGTCCAGTGTTGGACTACAGTCACAGGCAGGGAGATCATGTACATTTTTCAACACCAAACTATAAACACACACATATTCACACAAAGAATTTGCTAAATATTTATAGAGTTGCCATGACAGCAATGCAGAAAAATGACTCCCAAGAACGTTGAGTAGTTTGGGGCAAAAAGCCCATTTAAACAGAGCAGAGCCCCCCTCTCCATCAGCAGGCTGCACACATGCCATCACCCTCATCTCTCCGGAGACAGAGGTGATTTATAAAACACCAACACATTCCAATCACTTTATTTTACACGGCTCTAAACTTTGTGACTCTTTCAGATTCTGTCCGAAGATGGATGGATGTCAGAGTTTAACATCCTGAAGTGATTCAAACATTTCCTGGGATGGTCGTCAACATGGGTGTGAATTTTATGTCATTGAAACCCATTGGACACATTTCAACTGATAGAACACTTGACATGGTCTTTGTCCTTGTTTGTTCTGCGTAAAAAGATCTCAAATTCCTCCATGCCAAACTGGATGAATGCCAAGAAATCACTAGACAGGCTGCAGAGAAAGAGCCTGCAAAGACGAAGACGTCGCCTACCTGAGTCACACCTTGATAAAGAAAACCGTTATAGACACCAAGATAATAGAAAAGAAGAACTTGATTAAGAGGTGATGTAATTCCCAGGAAATGGCTTATCTCCTTTCTGCATTGTGAGGACAAATTGAACTTCACAAAGTGTGCTACGTTTTGCATTTCTGCAAGTGTCTCTTAAATGTTTGGCTTTACAAGTGTGAGATGAGATTCTGCAACCTGAGACGACATAAAAAAGGATTTGGAGAAAAAAAAAGGAATGACTGAGCTAAACAAATACTTTGCAAGGATTCAGTTTGATCAGGTTAATGTTGCTTACTAGCAATGGAGGTTCTAGACCATTTGTACTTAGGGACCAGTTTTATTTTAATGTGGGCACAGAACAAAAGAACAAAAACAAAAAAACAAACAAAAACAGAGCAATATTTCATTGTTTGATAAATGAAGCCAAAGAGCCACTTGCGGCTCCAGAGTTTCTGACTTCCTGATCTGGCAGATGAAAACTGCGATCTTATCTTGGTACGACTCAAGCTAAAACTACAACACCTTAATGTTTAATTCATTATTAATACACAAATTATTGTAAAATATAAAGGATAAATTAGTTATGATTTCTGTACCAGTGCATTTCATCATAAGGGATGTGTTTGGTGTCATCTCTTCAGTCAGGGTAGTTGGCCCATGCTTACCACAGTTATCTTTGAGGATGATTATTATGCTGGATGCTGTTTGTCATCATTTAATTGTTTTATCTTTAATCAGATGATTGTTCTCTCTTGTAATTGTGATTCCCAGGTAAAGTGGAGGTCACAGAGGTCAAGTTCAACTGCTATTTTATCTTCAGCAAGTAAAAAAAAATATGTAATTTAGCACCTGAAATACAACCAAGCTTGGTAAGTAACAAGAAAAAAAAATATTGTAAGAAAATGTGAAAACTTAGAATAAAAAGTAACAACTAGACAGTTTGTTTAGCGTGCTCTTTCCAAATTCTCTGAATTAGAGTGATATTCTCAGGGTTAGAGCGAGATCTAAAAGTGGTTATCCCATTTTTGGCAGATCATTCTCTAACTTACTTGCCCCTAAGAAAGAGTGGACATGTTTGGATGAGTTGCTGCAGTGAGATATCAAAGCCTGGACTGGTGGAAAATGAAGCTTAACTTCACCGTGTTCCTTGCTTACCTTAATCTCTGCGTGCTTGGTCCCCTTGGTGCAATCCCACACAGACAGTATATGTTCATTAGAGTCATCAATCACAGAAAGGAAGGTTCCAGAGTCCTAAATTGTTGATTCAAAACAAGACAACACATCATAAATATGCAATGGTTTCTGATTGATCCCTAATTTAATGGGTGTATATGAATCTCCTTCTTAAGTGTGTGTGTGTGTGTGTGTGTGTGTGTGTGTGTGTGTGTGTGTGTGTGTGTGTGTGTGTGTGTGTGTGTGTGTGTGTGTGTGTGTGTGTGTGTGTGTGTGTCTCCACCTGTCAGATGAGACACTGGGGTTCAATCCCATCCTTTTAAATATTGTATAAATTTGACTTTTTGCACGGGAGTTGCAATAGAAATTTTGTTGAATCCTGTTCAATGACAATAAATGCTATTCTATTCTATTCTATTTTTGGTTGATCAAAGATGTTCTTTTTGTATTTTGTGCTGTAGGTATCATGCACACATTGCTTTATAATTTACACTTTATAATGGAGCTTTTTAGACACAAGCCTTCCCACTGTTGGAGTGGAGATCATTGTGACCTAAGAATCTCTGTCTGAAAAGCATGGGCAGACCTGCTGTACAGATTAGGTTCTCTACAGTCACAGACTCAAGACTTAGTCTCTGCCACGCTAACTCAAACTATTTTGCAGCAGTAATAGTGTTGTCGTTTGTTTTTCTCTGCATTTTTTGTTAAGGATGTTTTGACATTCATCTTATGCCATAATTCAAATTTCTAAATCCATTGGCAAGAAGTGCAAACTTTCAGGCTTCCAATTTTCGTCCCATTGCCATGGTGAATCATGGATCAATGAGGACTTCTACACGCTTGCTCGTGTTGAACTCAGAACATTTCACCAGTTAGATGACATTTCTTTTACTCATCATGCAATCCTGATTGACATGACAACATCAAGACATTAGTCTGAGGAAATTCAAAGTAAAGAGCAGTTTACAGTTACAATGAAAACTAAAACTACTTACAGCAATGGAGAATGCCAGTGATCCCATTCCCACTCCCCTCTGGAAGGTTCCAAGCCCTATTTGCTGCAGGGTGACCAGGGTAGTAGAGTCCCAAATATGAACACATGCCTGCATTGGCTAAAATAAAACATAAAAACATATCATCTACAGAGCAGAACAGATCAGATCAAACTTTATTGTCCCCGAAGGAGCAATTTGCTTTGCAGACAGCAAGGACAATCACAGATAAATACATAAGGAAAAAAAGCCAGGACAGGTTTGCTGTTGATCAGTGATGACCTCGGCAGACGTACAAAAACCTCATTTGCTGCCTTCAACAACACCTGCAGAAAGTATCTGATGTCCACTCCTGTACCTACAGAAACTGAGCCTTACGATATATTTCTGTCAGTATGTAATTCCAGGTACATTTTTTGGCGTGATTCTAAAGTCTGCACCTGCTGGATTTCATGATTTCGAAATGTACCAGTTAATTAAATGTATTGTTTTTATTCATGTGTTGTTTTCAGCGTCATCCAATTTTACTGCTACAGCAGTGATTACCTTTCCATCTTTATCCACGCCGGCTGTCTGTCCAGATGCCACTCGAACATTGTCAGGATGAACAGCAAGACTGCAGAAAAGAAATATTTTAATTTATTTCAAAACTGTTCGAAAAGAATCCAGAAGAGAGAACAAAAATAAAAGCACATGTAGTGACTCGTGTCTGAACTTGCATTCATTTTCACCAGAATGAAAACATGCTTTCAGTCAGATAATTGTATAGTTTGTGTCACGTATTTGAGAGTGTTCCTCGTAGAGCGGATCTCACACACTGTTGATAAATGGTGGCTCTGCTCTACGCGGCTCTGGATGGGACAAAGTACCTGTCACCGTCCATACGAATGGATTGGAAACTGTAGCATCAAGAATGCCATCAGTGAAAGTAATAATAGGATGTTGTATGCCATGTTATTGCACAGAAACACTTGATTCTGATGAAGTATTGGGCAGTGGATATTCTTAAATTAATTGCACTGCGAACGTGATGAGGACAATCATCATGATGAGGACAATCATCAGTCAGAAGCTCTGATATCCAACCAGATCACTGATGCGGTTGCTAGTCATAATCCACGTCACTTTTTAATCTCAGAATGAATTCTCAAGCTGTTCAGGCTGCAGAAAGTTTATGCCCTGCAGAAAAACCCCTTAACATTCAACATGCTGCTCTCCGCAGCGCATGTTTGGTGAGCAAATTTTTATTGAAAGACAATAAGAGACGCATCATCCAAGAGCTATTTTACAGCTGAGAGCAAAACACTCTCATAGATGAATTATTACATCACACAACCATAACACGCCAAGCCCAAACAGGCTTACAGGAAACCTCATCTAAATAAAGAAAGAGAAACCAGTTCATAAGCTGAAGGTCATATGAGTCAACATTCATTCTGCTGTTAGATTCTTCAAAAATGAGTCAACTAAGATTTTAATCAGAATATTTTCTTTCATCTCTCCATCTGATGGTTCAGCCTTTGAACTGGACTTTGAACTCCTCTGTAGTCGAAAGTATTCTAGAGTGAAATGTGAGGCTATCTGAAGATCACGAAGCCAATGATCTCAAAAACTCAAAATAACGTTAGAGCCTGAGAAGATCAGATTATCTCTATCATTTCCTGACATATGAAAAACTAGAACTGAAAGAGGGCAAACTTCCCTTTCTCATGCTGGCAGGAATGCTTGTCTGCACAGCCACTTATTATCATTATTATAGGGAGGTGATCTTAGACAAGTGATTTAACAGCTTGTTTAGATTTTTCTTTTGCCCTCCAACTTCACTAAAGCCAAATAATAATCTGCTGCTTGTTTGCATACAAATGGATTACATCACAAATCTGCACAAATAGATTTACATCTGGAAGAAACATTTTTTGCAGCCTATTTTCATGTCAAGGTCATCCACTTCTCTGCCTTTCTGTGACTCTGCCAGTCTCTCTGCATCTCTGCTGAAACTGAAACTCGAAACTCGGCAATCTGAGAATGTTCACCTGTAAAGGTGGGAGTACAATTTAGGTTCATCCTAAAACTTCACCTAAATCAAGCCAAGCATCCTTTGCTTTTTGCGAGAAATACGTACCACCAACATGGGAAAAAAATAGAACATCACTTCATATAAATCAAAGAGAACAAAGTTTTCTTGATCCTACGCAGAGGATCGTTTAGTTTTACTGACCATCGGACAGAGTCGGTGTGCTTGCGGTAGTGGCGCTGCGTGCGGTTCTTGATGTGATAGAGCACAATGACACAAGCAATGAAGTAAACCGCTTCACCCGATGGAAGGAAGAATAAGTTAGCACGGCAGTCCCGTCCCCGGTAACCATAGCTACAGACAGGGTTAAGGTGGCAACACTCACATTTTGCAATGAACCATTCACAAATTTATTGTAATATTTAAATTAGAAGCTGTAATTTAGATGAATAAAAACTACTCTAAGTCAATTAATGACACAGACTCTTATGCTTAATAAGAATCTAGAGTTTTTACACATCAACTATGGGAAGGCTGGCGTACCTAAAGTACGAACGTCTGCAGCAAACACTGAGGTCTGCTGCATCCTTAATATTTTGCAATAAGAAGCAAAATATTAATCGCTTTGATTCCTGATTGATTTGCTAGGTTTCTGTCAGAACTATACAGGACATGCGTTACATTAAAGGTGGAAAATCGTATAAAATTACATGATTTTTTTTTACCTCAGAAGAACCTGTATTTGCACTGTAGACTTTTTTACATCCTCTTTATGAGAGCAGTTCTTTCTACAGCATCAAATCTTTCATCCATCAACAGAGTGAAAGAAACCAGGTGTGAATGTAACACAAGCCCAATAACATGAACACACAGCTGAGCACCGTGTTGAAGGATACACCCAGTCCAGCTCCAGGCTCTCTGAAGGCAGCTCCATCTTCAGGTTGTCATAGTTCTGGATGTTGGATGGGACGTACATGGTGATGGGTCGGCCACGGATGAACATTTTAATTGACTGTTCTGGAAAAGATAATAGAGAACTAAGATGAACTTTATTGTACCGATGGAAATTTGTCTTGTGTATCCATTCTGGATGCTGCATAATCCAAATCCATGACCATCGTTGTACAGCCACAAATAAAACCCACTTTCATAATGAATCTATTTTAAGAGAAATAACTACATAAAAGAAGAACGACTTGAGAACGCAAGAAAAAAAAACCAAATCTCACTATAAAACCTTTTGTGGCTTTGCTCTTAACTGGATACTATTGTCTAATGACATTAATCAAAGAAAAACATTAATAGACCCCCAAGTCTATTAATGTTTTCTAACATTAACAGAATTAGGTATTGAAACTGTTTCTCAAATATTTCAATCCCCATGAAAAAGGATTTACATAAATTCAGCAACGTTATCTTCACAATTCAGATTCATTTCTCCTTCCAGGAAGCTCTTCTGTTTAGTTCAAATATCTCAAGGAAACTACAGTTGCAGAAACTACAGTTTGCATCACTGTGACTGCTGGAGCACAGTATGTACAAAGATGTTCCAGCCTCATCTATTATTCTATTTTTTGGAAATAATTAAGCTTTTCTAGCCAATGAACAGATGTGGGGTGTAGTTTAAAAAAATAGAGGCTAAAAAAGGGATCTGAACTCAATTAGGGTACCATAAAGTGGTGAATATATTAAAAGGCTTTGTTTGCTTCCCTCAGTGCATTGGCCTGTATTATGTCATTTCTGGTGTACCTTGGCTGTACGTTCCTCTTCTTGAGCCGGGTGAACCTGTGTGCACAAGAATGCAAAAATTTAGTATCAAAGAAATTTAGCTTACATAAATAAGCTTTAAATATCAGTTGATTGTAAATCTTAACTAGCCTAATATGGAAACATCTGTAACACACTCTCATGCATTAGCAGTAATTTGAGTCCTTTTTATATGGAAGAGCTAACCATCCACTTTTTAAATACGCTGAGTTCTTTAAAGCAGTTCTTTACTTCCACATTAATTAATGATAGCTGATGTAAGACAGCCCACTAGCACATCTACACAAAAACATTGATGTGCAAACAGACTGAGTAGTAATTTACTTTTGTAAAACAGTTTCTTAGGAAACAGACCAATACAAAGCGGTGCATGATTATGAAGTGGATGGAAAATGTACATTTTCAAACATGAGTAGAAAAACCTTCCACTCCGATACAGCGCAACGCGCTCCCTCCTGTGAACATAAAGTATCAATTCAGCCGTTCTGTTTCTGTGAAGGCCACAGAAGTTTGACAGAAAACATTAGAATGGTGAAATGTGTTTCAGACACACGAATGATGCAAACGCGAAAGCACACAAGCACGAAAGAACAAATGCAACAGAAAACACTGCAAACACAAAATGCTGCAATCAGACAAAACCCAACAATCAAAGAAAAATGCTCCAACTGCTGACAAATTTCTGCAACCACAGGAAGCAAAGGGGAAAATGCCCCAAATAGCAAAGCCATAAACTCGCTCCACAACACAAAAATGCTCCAGACTCGACCACCAAGTCATAGGGGACCAGACCTTCAAAGACAAGATGTCCAGAAGAAAGAAGGAGGAATATGTAGGAAATGACAGCGACTCCAGACTCCTGGGAGTGATTTGGAAGACTTCATTTTTGTGGAGCCAGTTTTCTATCATTAATGAAGAAAAGACATCACTAAAGCCAAAGAACACAACAGTAAGATAAGACTGCAAATGTTACAAGAAATGATCATCGGAGAAGCAGCAAAGAGACTGATGGTAACTGTGGAGGAGTTGGTTTAGATCAAAGCATATTCATCTGTTGGAACGTTTCAGTGAAAGTCTGGAGCTAAATTTAGGAGGTGAGAGTTTGTGGGAATTGCAAGTATAAGGGGAAACTTTCTGGATAAAGGACATACATCCCAAAAATAACTGGTGCCTGTTACTCAGGGAGGACACAGCGTTAGAACAGCTTCCTTCAAAACATCTGTTACTTTGTTGGTTCACTATGAATTATCCTTAGAACACTGAGAGCCTTGTTCAGATGAAGAATGAGTTACATTCCAGACGGAAAGTCAGAGGTTCAGTTTGACCTCCAATTCACGAAACTGATGATCCGCCTCACAGTGAGTACCTGAAACCTTCATTTCCCACAATGCACCCACTTTCTCTGGAAGAATAATAGGCCCTGCCAATGTCAACAGAAGAGATCTTCCTAAAAGAAATACTTTCTTTGCTCTATTGTGATCAAAACCAAAACTTGCTTCTCATACCCATCTTTCAGCAAAAAGATGGGTATGAGAAGCTCAAGTCGAGGTCATGGTGAGAACATAAAAACGCATGTTGGCAGCCTACACTGCAGAGCTAACCATCCATCAACCTGCAGTGTGAGTCGGAGCAGCAGTGGCTCTCGGCTAACCACAGCGGATATGACTCCACTGCTGCACCCACAGCATGTCTCTATTCCCAGCAACTTGTAAGGAGAGGGGCAAGTTAGCAAGTTGGGGCGGGTGAAATTCTCAGTAAGTGACATAACTGAGACAATTCCCTGGATTTGCAACAGATTAGAACTCTTCACTCGGTTATTTTTGGGACAGATGCCAACTTACTGGCTGCTGAATTAAGAAGATTACTTCACTCTCAAACTGCAATCACATCGAAGCAACAAAAGAAATTTTATTAATATCTTAATCGACATTAGCAAGATCCTTGAATTAGAAAATCTTTAAAAATATATGTGTATATACTGCATCAGCCTGTGAAGACATTTCCTCAATTTTGCAAAAAAAAAAAAAAAAAAAAAAAAAAAAAAAAAAAAAAAAAAAAAAAGGTTTTCATACTGGCTTGAGGTGGTTTTTGGCATTTTCATAAGATGGCATGACATTTGTATTCAAACCCAGCTGGCAAAACTAGTAACACTGTACAAAATGATTTGTGTAAACTTTGTATAAGTTCAACACTCTCTTTGGTAGAGAAGTAGTTTGAATAAAATAGAGATTGTCCCAATGTGCATCTAGAAGCATTTGTTCCTAATCTTCATCAATTTTTCTCTAGAAGCTGTTTGTTCATGTCTTCCTACACAGACAGAAGAGACTTCTTTTTCACAACCAATGATGCACAACCTTCACTTACTGAGGCGCTTTGGTGATGTTAATAACATCTACTTAAGGAATTGTATTTATTTATGAGGGACTAAATTAAAAAGAATATACGTATAATCTTTCAAACAACTTGATGCTTTGTAGATCCCACATTTGTAATATGAGTATTTTAGGCTTTTATTGTTGTTTTGTTTCTTAAGAGTCTGAAAGACTTTAACCATAGTCACAGAAACTGTGTCAACCACAAGTATGTTTGGGAGGGAAACTCCTTTTTTTTTTTTCTTAAACAAATGACTGTGTGCTTAGTTGAGTGACAAGCTACCTGACTGCAAGTTCAGAAGTATAGTTCAACTCCAGGCTCACTAATAGAGTACAATAATGAATAGATATGGTTCTGATCCACGAGAGTTCCAGTTAATGAAACGCATCATCAAAAAGTTGAGGAAATGAAATTAGGCCCAGGTCAACATACTATCCACACCACTTCAGCATTTTTACATTGTAAGTCACTGGGAAATTAACTAGTAGAGTAACAAACAAACAAGGAATAATAATAATAAAAACATTAAATCCTCAAGAAAAAGAAAAGGAACTATTTTTTCTTTAAAAAAATAATAATATAACTCTTTTGTGTATTTTAATAAAATCCCAATGAGTTAAATCTTTGTAAAAACAACTTTCACTCCACATCAATTCATCCAATTCAAAAATACTTGACTAATTACAGATGGATATTAAATCCAATCATCCTCACGGCTTTGAGTCTTTTGTCTCTATTCATTTTGCCCTCAAATTTCTCCCTTGCAAAACAGGACAGACAGGATGAAGCTTCCCTGTTTTTGCTACACAAACGCATCAACACAGCATGATGCTGCCACTGTCATATTTAACTATGGGCCTGGTGTTTTCAGGGCAAATCTCTGTGTTACTTTCAAAGGAGTTTTTGCTGTAAGTCTGCTTGACAAAGGCAACAAATTCTCTTTGAGCCGTCACCCAGAGATGGCTGACAGACAGACATACGAGGTGCAGCTCTGAGCTGTGATGCTGGAGGCTGTTCAGAGGGAGAAACTGGCTGATGTGGATTTTCTCATGGTTCTTCTGAGAGACAGCAGGATCTGGACCGAACTGTGGTGAGTCGTGACAGGATATGGCGGGCAGCGAGGTGGGCCCACCAATCAGAATGAGAGATGAACAGCTATTTATTTTACCTAAGAATTTTTTATTTGTGTTTTGGACTGTTCAATATATTTTGGTTTGAATTCAAATGAGAGCTAAAAAAAAAAAAAAAAGAATAGAAAGTCTGTCTCTGGTGTCTAAATTTGTTCATCAGAAAATATTCTTATTTCTAACTTTCCAGTCAAATATATAATCTCTGGGGATTATTTAGTTTTATTTTTCGTCCTATGTACATCCCACGAAATTTATACGTGAGATTTGATTTTGAAGTTTGTTAAATAAATACCTTAACTACAAAGTCTCATTATTAGTGAATTACGTTGAGATATAATATATAGGTATGTAAATATGTGAATAGATCAATATACAATGTAAATAATCTACAACTTTGTACAACTAAGTAGTAGAAAAACAAAAAACAAAAATACATTATGAAGGAAAATATTTCAGAGCAAAAATATAGAGCAACCCTGTCTCTAGAGGTTGTTTTCCAATCATTCAACAATCTGAACGTGGCTTGAATTTACTAACATAATAAATGTTTATCATTTTGTCAGTAATATTTCTCATTGTGGAATGATGGACTTTAAATGAGTGGATAGGAACTTTATGACCAATCACGGATTAATATGTAACAAAAGCTGCTTGTCGAAGGTCATTGCTGATGTCTTCCCTACTTGGCATTGTGACAAGGTCACCTGTATGACCACAGCTGCCAACTGCCAACCCTCCTGCTTTACTGGAGATGGTCCCACCCGCTGACGATCAATTCATTCACTAGCAGCGCCAGGTGGCCACCGAAGCAGCAAGGATGAACTTTGCATTTTCTTTTTCACACGAGGTTAGATTAGATTTAGGACATAATCATGTTTATGTCTTGGCATCTATAAATCAATGAACAGAAACAGGAAAGATACATGCAACAAAAACGTTTCACAGGCTTACCTGCACTGGCTATCAGCTCCTTCGCCCGGCTGTGGAGAGAAAACACACACAGATGACACACATGAGACCACTTTATGAAAACATGACGTGGATCTGTCAGTATCCTCTTATGTTAAATTGAGACAGTCAGCATCCCAACAAACTGCCTTTTGCAGAGGACATGTGAGTGATGACGTGGTGGCAGCTGTAAGGAATGGCGGCGTACCTCTCCAGGCTGGGAGAGCGGGTCAGCAGGTTGGCAGAAGACGCTGCCTTCTTGTCCAGACGCTTCCTTTGCCTCTCTGGGTTCGGCAGCTTCTCGCTGTTTCTACGAACCCTACGGCGGCACAATGCAAACAATGAGCCTTCAAATCAAACCGCTTACACCGCAATTCCACTAACAGGGTTAGAATTTTCCCCAATGCAGCCATGCAAGGGTTTATAAGCATGCTAAGACAGAAACATGAACAGCTGTTGTAATTTGATGTAAATTAATCCGGTTTGATAAGAGCTTGTTACAAAACGTCAGAGAGAAGACGTGTTGATCAGAGCTGATCAGCATCAGATCAAGGCAAGTTTATTAAAGCAAAACGGAAAAGAATTTTGCAGCTTTTAGTTTGACAAAAGTTAGCAGAAACTCTCCCGCCTCAATAGTCCAGGTCGTGTCCTTCCTCACTGAGTGAACCATGTGCTCTTCATTTTCAGATTTCAGGTGAGAATGAGGAATGATTTGGCCCTGGCAGAGGCCCGTTTGGACCGCGCATTAGCTGGAAGGCAGATTACCTCTCGCACACGAGACTAGAATATTTTGCTCTGCAGAATCCACAGTAGAGACGGCATAAAATTCACGTCACAATGTCTTTGGTTTTGTCTTTCAATTTGGATGCAAATACAAAAAAAGGCTACGTTCTTTACGTCTTTCAAACTACTCCTACGTGTTCAGTCCATTTTAACTTTACCGTCATGCATTTTATTTCCCATGCTGACCCGGGTCTGAAGGGTTAAAGATTTTCTAGTTTCTCTCATTATTTTATGCTCCAGCTTTGAGGTGAATGTGCTGAAACGTCCATCAGAGAGCAGATGGACGTCCCACTGAGCAGACTGCCAACTTCTATAAATGCTTTCTTAAGTGATTTGTTATTTCTCTCCACTATCGCCAAGTCTTTGCTCAGGATTGAGCAGCTGATTAAAAGTAATCAGCTCATGCAGGGTTTTCAAAAATATATATTATTGGTATTGTATGATCTGTATTGTATAGTTTGGTGGAACTGGATTGTATTAAATCTGAACCTCTGTGTTTTAGATTCAATATATTTTTGAATAGGATTGTTTAAAATTACAAATGTTTTAACTAGATCTATCTGTTGTGCCCTGAACATGTTTGCTACTAAGAAGTGAGTGCTTGTTCCACTAAACAGTGAAGTTGTTAAACTGATCAGTTAAACCAAAAGAAATGAAAGAAAAACATAACTGATATTTGCAGCTGCATTCTGTTTATAGTGGAAGGATGGCCAGTTCCTCTGCTTCCCAACAATGTCTCCCAAAATATGAACTCAACTACAAAAACAAACTGAAATAACCAACCATTTGGTCTTTAAGTCCATCATACATCCTTTAATACCAATAGTCCATCAAATAATGGGGCTCCTAGTCTCCATAACAAACATACTCATGTGAAAAGAGCAAAATCTATATTTACCACAGTTCACTTCCTGATGATCAGCTGATGTACCAAAAAAAAAAAAAAAAACACCATAAAGACTCATTCACTGCTTCATGGTAGCCTAGATAAAGGAAGTGAAACTCTCTTGACAATAAACCTTCTTCCTAAATACTTAAGGAAACCTTTGATCATCTCACAATAAACCATATGTTTAAAAAAACCTAAAATAACTATACAGGATTGTGACTCGGTCTTAACCTTAACCCAAGTTAGTCAGGAATCATGTAAACCATTCTATGCAAAATATCAGACACACGACACAAAACCTCTGTGCAATAAGTTCTGGTTTCCAAGAGGCATCGACTTAAGGACAGGGAAGAACATATTTTCATTACATGTACAATCGCTTTTTATATCCATATTTTATGCAATGTCAAGATTTTCTATTGGAGTGCAGAGAAATCTCAGAGTAAATAGCATGAAGTGTATCTGGGATTTGGGGAAACTTGGAGGCTCTGCACAGGCAGGTTTGAGATTATTACTCATGTTTCTTTGTCTCCCTTCCTAATAGTTTTGTATTCATTTCTGGAATTGTATTGTTTTGAAGTTTATATACAGGTATATTGATTGATTAAATGTTCCTAATGCTACTATCTGTAATTAAGTTCTAACAAAGTTATACAAAGCGTTTTTTAAAAAAAAGCATCTTATTTGTTCTGATTACACTTTTCAAAAAATGTGATTTTGATTTCAGAGTCCTCCTGTCTCATGTTGAAGTGTCCCTGAGCAAGGCACTTGACCCCAGATGGTCTATGGGTCTGCCTACCGGAGTATGACTGCTTGAATGTGACTGCTTGGTTGGTCGATATGATGAGGAAAGTGTGATATAAATTCAGACCATTGACCATTAACTGAAAGATTGTGTGACATTAATTCAAAAAGATGAAGCTTGAACAGATCTAGCTCAGCGTAGTTTTGTTGTGTCAGTGAAACTGTTGCATTGCAAATGTACATGGTGAACTTATTTTAGTGGGAAGATGAAAAGGCTGAGTTTAAGTTGGAAACCGCTCGGCATTCAAGGCATTGATCAGAGTTAGATCAAGGGCCACAAGAAAAATCCTGAATGTATGAAACCCATTACATAGGAAACCCTCTTCCAAGCCGCAAAAAGCATTGGAGACAAAAAGGAAAGTCGTGCATGCACTAGAACTGGTCCCAGTAAACAAAAGCAGCTGTGCTTCACCACTATGTTGTTTACAGGCCATTGGAAAGGCAGTTGTTCAAAAAAGTCGGAAAAAAAGAACCCAAGTATTCATTCCAGAATTTGCGGACAATGGTGAGTGATTCAGTGATTAGATTACTTCTGCAAAACCCAGTTGAATAGCAGCTCCTTGTTAATGTCTTTACCTAATCCTTTATATGGAGGTTTTTTTCTTGAACAGTTCCTTTGGTGCTACCTGTCTGGACAGATGCTCTTTGAAAAGTTACAGCTATTAAGGTTTTCACACAGCCACACCTGTTCAGTCTAAGCATTGTTAGTCTCATGAAACCACTTTTCTGTGGTTTCATGCTGACCTGAACTCGCATCACATCTTCCACTTGCTGCAGTGTAGATGAACAAATTATGGACATGTCACGCCGCTGGATCAAATGCTCCACTCCAGCTCCATGTTTTCCCAACAACCTAATCAAATACATGGGAAAAATCCCATCGGGATTATTTTAGAAAACAGACCCTCACACCCCCCAACCCCCCAGTCCCTCTGTGTTTCTGATTCTGATGGCTAAAGGTTTGACCTGTGGCAGCACAACTGGGGTTTGCAGAATCCCACTCAGACAATATTGAAGTTGATTGAGTCGTAAAAAGCCATGCAAGATTAACTTGGTTATGCATAAAGCAGCGGTGAAGCTGGCTCACGCACAGCGTCCTTTCTGCTTCTTGGATGGGAGACAGGGGTCCAGATCGCAGGTTTTGGTCTGAGCCGAGGGAGGCCGGGGCAGAACCCGGATCGTCCGGAGAGCAGCTTCGATCCAGGCATTCTTCCCTCTGAAGGGATCTCACTGTTGTTGGTTGAATAGGCTCCTCCACTGACGAAGACCAACTCGTTTCTTTTTCTTGGTCCCCGCCGACTTCTTCATCCACCTGGTCCTCCTCTTCCTCGTCCTCCATGCCAGGGACCCGGTGGAGTTTGCCTCGTGTCCCGTCGAGCTCCCTTGGAGGAAGGCCGTCTTCAAGATGGAGGCTCTGGTCACGTCTCGATAGAGTGGACATGGTGGGCTCAGTCTGAGTTGCCTTGTCCAGTGATGGCAGTCTGCCTTGCTGCTCTGCAGATACTCTGCTTCCTATGTGGCCGTTAGCATTGCTCACAATGCTCTCTGACTGTTGGCTGGAGAAGGTACAGAGGTTGGGAACCACACAGGCCAGTCATACAGCAAGACAAACATATCAACACAACCATCGTTTGACAGACAAGCATCACTTAGAACAAGCCTGTAACATGTTAGGAACAATACAACAACATTCCTGTCATGACCATTCATGTTAATGCCTCATGAAATCCTATCAACCTGGACTTGTACGTCACTTTTCTGTTGCAAACGTTAAAAACTTGCAAATGATGCCTATTGTCTCTGTATTAAAGTACTTTTCAAAAGAAGTTTCAGAATTTCATCTGTTTTAGTAGGAGTCCTTCAGCATGCAGAATCTAGACATGGCAAGTCGAGATCTCTTGTTCACAGCCTGTTAAGTGACCCCAGACCTTCTGCTGCATTGTGTTCAGGAATGCTGACTCAGCTATTCTTAACGCTCCCACATACTCAGGCGTACTGTTCGAATTCTGTGATCCATGCAGACTCTGAGGTCGGTACAACCGAATATGTGGAGATCCATAGGAGTGTGTGTATGTGTGTGTGTGTGTGTTTGCTCTTTAATACAGAGGCAAACTGTCCAAGGCGTCCCTGCAAGAAAAAGCTCGTAATGACAAAGCAAACATCAGTAATCCAACAAAACTGATCGACCAAAGCTTTGATTGAAGCAGATAAATAACAGGGAGGTTTTCTGAAATGTTATAAAACACCTGACCCGTCACTTTTTACCAACATCTAAAATTGCAGTTGGCAGAAATGAGAGGCGATCAGCGGCGTGGCAGTGAGCCGCAGCCCGGCTCTGAGTGGGAATCACCTGGCGGCCGTGGCAGCGTGGTAAATTCCATCGTTGGCTGAACTTGATGAGAGTTTTCTGCCGCTGGTGAAACCGTCTGAGTGACACACATGGTTCAGTACCCGGGCAGCACTGGGGTTCACTGGGGGGAATCAGAAGGAATGGTCCATATTTGTGAGGACATTCACTCTTTCTGCATGCACAATTACCAGAACATGAACAGTATGTTTGATCTGACCTGACCAAACACTGACCTGCTATCAGCTGCTGCTTCAGCAATGGCAGCAGCTGATCATGCATCCGGATTCTCCGCAGAGCATCAGCCAGCGACGACTTCAGCAGCGTGATCTCATCCTCCTGCGCCTGCAGACGCACCTCCACGGAGGAACTGCGGTCGGGGAAATCAGTGCTGCCGTCTGCTGACACATCATCTGCAAGTAGGCCGCAAAAAATTCTTCGTGAAAAGTGATGCCTCAACTGAGAAGATATCTGTTTGAAGACGCTCATTGCGGAAATACGAGCCTCAACTATTGTTCTAATTCTTTTTCAAGATACATAAAATCCTCTGCCACTGATTGATGTGGATAATATTGCTTACACTGAATGAAAGCACCTTTGTACATTTTAAATCAGGAACCAAGACGAGGCGTCTTTCACTGCAGGATGAATCTGAAACAACAAACTAATAAATGCTCATTTTCTCTTCAAAGCTTTTGACCACCATGATAAGGAGCATTTCAAATGCACACACGTTAAACCAAGACAAGTGCCAGAAATTTTCTTTTTTTTTAAATAGAATTATTCCATTGCTAGCACATGGAATAAAAGAATAGTAGCGGTCCAGCGATTGCAGTTTTCTGATAACAGATCTTTTAAAAAGCCTGATCTGCTGATTCAGAGTTTGGCCGATACCATTTTTTTTGTGTGAAATATTGCTAAATATAGCAAGAAAGCCACCGAGTTGGCATTAGCAGGCATGATGGGCGGGTCTATCAGTCAAAAGGGCAGAAGGGAAAATGGCTGATTTTTCGACCTCATCTGAGATCAATAGGATTGGGGAAAAAGATCAGCTTTACATGTAAATATCAAAATGAAGGAAATAGGTACCAATACATCGGCTGGCCGATAAATCGTGCACCCCTGGTTCCTAGACATATAGTCAATTAGAGAGAAAGTTTCGATAGCTTTTGAGATGTGGGAAGACTTTATAGACTTCTTTAATATACCCTGTTGCAAAGAATATCTGTTCTTCCTCACAAAGCTTTCTGTGGCTCTAGTGACATCAAATCAACAACAGTTGGTTAAGAAAAAAAGGCAGATATGCAGCAAATGGTTTGAGTCTTAACAGATTTTTCTATTTATGTACATCCAATAACCTATTTCTTTGTTTGTTAAATGTGGACCTTATTTATCAGTTATTTATCAGATGTTGGTGTCACAGCTGTTTGAGTTACATATGTTCTTCACTCTGTACTTATCGCTACGTTGGCTTTTCTCAGCTAAGAGGAATTCAAAATAGACGCAGAAGCTATATTCTTTTCACTTCCAAGAAAGAAGAGGCGTTTTGTAAGAGCTCTGATGATGAAATCACCTCCAGTAATTCAGTTGAACAGAAAACGTCCTCCTCGGTGAATCAGTTACGACATGTCCACACTTGCATGAGGCTCACTGCTCTTTTATGCTCAGTTGACAACACAATATGTGATGACGCTGGCAAACAGCCAGCAGCTGTCAGCAACAAGAAAACTATTGGCAACTATCAACCTGAGAATCTAACATTCCAGCAGTCTGTTTGCTTTCATGGAGATGAACCACAATCAGCAAATTCTGCACATCTTTCAGAAATTAAATAAAGAATAAGAGTTAAAGATACCCAAAGGAAGCTATGATAAATCTCTCACTCTGAGCCTAACTCTGCTAGAGGTTTCTTCCAGTTGGAAGGTAGTGGTTCCTCTCCACTGTCACCATATGCTTGTTCAGGATGAGGGATTGTTGCAGAGTCAATGACTGGCTGGGTTTCTAGATAGATACATTCTGCTCAGCTCTGCTATGATTGTGATGCAGTGAAATAGTCATGAACCTTTGGCTTCCTCCTGTCACACGTTGATGTGCCCTCGGGCAAGGCACTCAACTGCAAGTTATGAATCGGTGTATGAAGGTGTGCATGTTTGTGAGTGTGACTGGGTGAATGTGGAATTAGTGTAATCAGCTCTGAGCTGACAGTATGAACAGAAAAGGATTTTATCATTTCAGTCCATTTACCAACTGGCATATATCATTAAGTTTCATAACATTATAATTTGGATGGCATTGGAACATATAATTCAATTTGATTCCTTCATTTCTTGTCATTTTGATGATTTTGTGGCTTATAAATAATCAAAACCCAAAGTTCAGTGTTTCTGAAATTTGAACATGGTGTCAATACAATCTACACATCAGCAGAACTACAGGCTGGTCTCCTCTGTGCCATGATGCACCAATGCAAAAGGAAACCCAACCAAGTATTGAGAGCATAGAAATAAACAGAAACCTGAAATTTCTGTCTTTTATTCTTCTTTTTGTTTTGTAAGATACTAATTTTCTGAGACAGCAAGTTCTAGCTTTTCCTCATCTGAACGCTGTAATTATCAAAATGAATTTTTTTTGGGACGTACCAGGACATAAACTAAAGCTGACCAAACGGTTGTCATGTGAAACCAAAATAGTTCAGTTTTGAAAAAATCTGAGTGCATATTTTTGCTCCAACCTGGTCAACAATGAACTTTACTAATTTCAATAAAATGACTAAGGTAAAATGTTTGTAGGACGATCTCACAGGCCCACCTGGTAAATTGGTTTCAATTTCCTTGGAATAGGAAAAGTTGAATCTATTCTCGGATACAAGAACAGGAAATGGGGAACTTTCTTCGGGAGCGTTTGCTATATTTAGCCAGGTTTAGTGAATGGGTGTGTCCACGTCTGCTTTGGAGGAAAAAAAAAAAGTTCTACAGTTTTGGTTCAACTTGTACAGAAATTAAGCTGAAAGTGAAACATATACAACAACGTTTTGTATTAACATTTTTCATTTCAAAACTTATTTTCCCTAAATATTGTTAAAGGCTTCACACGTGAAAAACACTCAATCTAAAAATGTTCATAAAAATGTTCACCAACCAATCAGCCAAAGTTGGACTATTTCTAAAAACCAAGCTTATGACCTATAACCAATAATCAAAGTCTAACTACTTGTAGCGACTTGTACAAGTAGTTACAACTATGAAGCATATTTTCAGCCAACACTACTAAACAGTAGAGCCCTTAAAAAGGAAAAGTTAGTTTTGCTCAGTTGCATACACACGTGTGTGTTGAAAACCAGTAGTTCCTCTGCGCAGTCACCTCATGCACAGAAGCTACTGGCTGAGTTCACACACCACACCCTCTCCGTTCTTCTATCCATGGCCTTTATACAGTGTAACCAAAAGCCACAGGCGCTTACAAAGCCATAAAACAAAGAAAATCCTCAGCGGTGTAGACTTTGAACCTTATCATTGTACTAAAAAGAGTTTGGTGTTAAAAGCCAAAACTTCCTTAGAACCTGTGATTGTGGAGCAAAGAGGTGCAGAGGTACTATGTGGAAAGAGAAACTGCTTTAGAGAACCTAAATCAATGCAGAAATGAACCTGCAGACTGGAGTCATTGGCACTGTATAATTCCTGGTTGTGGCTCATGATTGTTAGTTTTTGCTAAAGTTAGGTTTTGCAATTCTGAAGAAATTGTAGAGAAGAAGAGAGTGGCTCTAGGTTTGAAGATTCAACAGCAACAACACATTTTTAGTGAAAGAAAAACATTCTGCCTTCTTTCCTTTAGTTTCTTTCATTGAGTCTCAAATATCTTTGTTTAGTTTACAGAAGACAGTAGATATATATTATTTCTTCCTTTCTGTTTATGTGAATTGGATCTATTTTGCTCTGATAGTAATTTACATTACTGGCAATATTCATGACCGGTTTTCATCTAAATACATTCAGATTACCTCATTTAAATGTGGGCAATTTGTCAGAAGTGGAAAATACAAAAACATGACAAAGCAACCTGAGGTAAAAGTCTTTATGTTCCAGGGCCTTGTGAGTTAAACAGAAGTGCTAAATCTACAATGTTTATGAATGCAAGTTTATTAATAGATTTTCACCCCTATATGACCTAATTCAACAGAGGTCCAGTCACTTGGTGCAGGTGGATTCACCATAAGTGGAATGGAGATCACCTTAAGTGTTGGCAGAATAAAGACACCTGTATGGAAGGTGCATCCACTGGTTCATCGGTATTCCTGACTACCATCACATCATGAAGACAATAGAATACTTTGTAAATATTATGTTTTTGCAGTGTAAATCAGTGAAATGCTGTGAATTGCTATGAAAGTGTATTTATGCCTGTTTGATTACATGAAAACCAATAAAATCAAATACTTTGCAAAAGTTTGTGGAATGAAAAACAAAATTCCATCCAAATAAAAATATTTCCATCTGCATTTTAAAAATCCAGTCAGATCTGAAGCAGTGTGTCGTAGATTTGAGGTCCGCTTATCTTCGTGCAGGTTTGGGCATGAAGATAACCCAACCTGCACGAACACAGGTGTTGAAAAGTATAAGTCAGGGGATGGATACAAAAAAAAATCCTTAAAGCCCTGAAGTTTTCCTGGAGTTCAGTTAGATCTATCATCAATAAATGGGAATCATCTGGTCCATCTGTAAATCTGCCCAGATCAGGCTTTCTTCACAGACGAGTGAGACAACGCTGAACCAACTACAAGCTTCAGCATTTGAAATGGAGAGACTGCAGACAGCAACTGTTGCCCAGTTTTTAACCAGTCAAAGCTTTTTGGGACAGAAGCCACCAGGACTGGACTGAAGTCCAGTTAGAGACTGACTAGTCCAAAATGAAGCTTTTTGTCCTTCAGGCAAGACGCCAAGTGAAGTGGACACCAAACACACCATTCCAACTGAGAACAATGGCGGTGGCAGCATCATGCAGTGGGGATGATTCTGCAGCAGACTCTGGAAGCACAGCAACGTCCAAATGTCAGCCTGAGTCAGAGATCCACACTGACTCTGTTGCTGGGACGGCAGCCAAAGAAGCAGCTACTAAATACTGACATGAAATGGGTGAATATTTATGCAATTACTGTTTTATGTAAAAAAAATAATAATAATAATAATAAATATGTGTCTGTATTTTGCAGAAATCACCTTTCAAAGTCAAACGTTCTTGATTATCTGTCCAAGCAATAAATCGGAGAAAACACCAAAGGAAGTGAATCTGTTTTATAGGCGAAACAGAAAATGTATCAGAGCTTTATTGGTGAGGCTGAAGCCTCCTCACAAAACTGTCTGGATGATAAACAAAACATTCCAGTCTCACTTTATGAGGCAGATGATGAAATGTGGAT